GATAATATGCAACAGGAAAGTTCAACTACTCATCCTTGGACAGGTATGCCACGCAAGAGTTTGCCACACACTCTCAGACTAATGATAAGGAGGGTAAGAGACAAGCCAGCGTTTACTTGGAAAGAGTTGCAGGAAAACTAGAAAGTAGCAGGAACAACAGTTACACAGAGATCAATAAGTAATAAACTGCAATACAACAATCTCCTTTCACACAATCCATGCAAAACTCTTCTGCTAAAAAAGAAGCACAGAGATGTGTGTCTAAAACTCGCACACAAACATCTAGACAAATCATAAAATTTGGAACAATGTACTCTGGTCAGTGGGACAGAAAGAGAACTGTTAATTATTCAGCTCATCATGTTAGAAGAAGGAAGGTTTGCACATATGATCCCAAGAACATCATAACCACAGTGAAGTATGGTGGTAAGAGCATCATGATATGTGACTGCTTCTCTGAAAACAGTACTGGGCATTACATATCATCGAGGGAATCATGAATGGAGCAATGTACGAGGAGTAGAAATTTTCTCCACTATCTCTATCAAGACCTCTTCTGCTCTGCATTCTCCACTGCTCTCTTGTGTGACCTGGAAGGCCCTGTTTTGCTCCAGCAACAAGGCGGTCGATGTCCACAATCCTGTTTGGAATGGAAAATGAGACGGCATCTTTTCTCTCATGCACTTGTGCATCTAAAACAAGTCCAAGTTCACAGAACACAAACATACTGATAGCAGGGCCAGCTACTGTGCAGTGACAAGTTTTTCAAAAGAGAGAATGCTCTTTATTATCAGACCAAGATAAAAAAAAAGTATTGTTTATTTTTGGATAAAGCTAGGCAAAGATCATGCACGTCGTTCAAGGAGAAGATCTACAAAATGGTGGAATATTTAAAGTAATTAAGCACAATCTGTGTGCAGATATATGGAACATTTTGTTTAAAGTCAGCTGTAAATCATAATCATGACAGTATTAGGAAGCACGGTGATGTAAATCAGAAGACCTCACTATATTTGGATTTGAAGACTACAAGAAAACAAGTTCTTTGGCTTTTAAATTTTATATGATGAATCATGGTTAATATGACCAGAGTTGAGAAAAAAAAAAAAAGTCAATTCTGATTTCAGGTTGGTGAAATCTTTCTTGTTTTGAATTAAAAAATATAAAACATTACATCCCTTTATAATACTCATCTTTAATACATGTTCCATTCTTCTTCTCAGACCTAATTTCCAGTTTTGTCTTTGCTTCAGTTTAATCCTTTCTCAACAGTGTAGTCTTCCCAGAATTCATTAGCCATGTAACCCTGATAATGAACTTGGTATATTCCCCCTCAGTTCGGGCCAGCCTCCATTAGAACAGGCCTGAATTTATGAGAATGAATTAGAGACAACATAAATTAGGGCCAACTATATCAATTCATTACCCCCCCCCATAAAAGCCTAATGGGGAAGAAAGTGGCCTAAATCAAATACACTGCGGATATGGGGGTACTGACAGGACGAAAGTAAAACCCTGCACGAGTGCTGGCTGAACTCAATTAGTAAGAGTGCACTCGCCAGTAGTGACAAACTCCTGTTTGTAGAGGGAAACGGTCACCTGTTCACACATGTACACTAGGGCTGCACAGTATATCATTGTGATACTGGCCTTTGCAATATAGACATCACAGCAGGCTGCAACATGCAAACAAAGCTTTAATGAACTAGAGTATTTTATTATGTGCTGAATCTTGATCACTCACAGTCTTTCCAGATGACCTTCTGTGGGTGGTGTGATGAATCAAGGCCCATGTAAATACTTTTGGTCAGAATAATACAGGATAATTTTGTGTGTTTTAATATATATCATTATATTATAATTATTGCATCATAAAATAATAAGCGATGTGTTTTTGTTTTGTTTTTTTTTGTATATACCATACCATTTCCCAGTTTTAGCAATATTGGGGCTTAATTTGGGCTGGATCCACGCAGTGCTTTGCAAAAGTATTCAACCTTACCCCCATAAAAGTAATCAAATTCATCTAGATTACAGTTGATTAATTACATTAATATTTTATGTATCAACTGTAACAAATTTTAAAGTGATACTGGTTTTATGCATAAAATATTGTGGGAGGTTCAAGTTCACACAGTTGAAAGATATTGCCCAAAGGAGGACATTGGCTTACAATTGGCCTCTACTTGTGAACCATTAAAAATTCTCACCTTTTCTCACCATAAGACCCCCTTAATTCAAACATCACTGGTCAGACAGTGCATCTGAAGTAAAGACCAAATCTAAAGACATTAGAAATAAAGTTACAGACATGTACAAGATAGGAAGAGGCTACAAAATAATATCCAAGTGTTTGGCTATCCAAGTGAGCACTGCTGGATCAATGGTGAGGAAATGTAAGCTGCAACATAACACCAAGGCACTTAGACAAGACTAGGCAAGACTGTCCCTCTAAACTCCACCTCAGAGTAAGGAGACTTGTAAGGGAAGCCACAATCACTCAGTGATCTTGTCAATCGGAGCTCAGTGGCTGAGACTGGAGTAAAGGTGCACTAGGTAACAATATCAAGAGCTCTGCATACAACAGGCCTGTTTTTGAGGGTGGCTAGAAAGAAGCCAAAATTCAAAATGCTATGTGTGGTGCAACCCTAACACCATCCATTCCACAACAAACACCATCCCAACAGTGAAGTTTGGAAGGGATGGAAGCATCTTCTTGTGGGGATGCTTTGTCTCAGAGGCATCTTGTTAAAAATGAAGAGTGGATGGATGGTGCAAAATACAAGGAAAAACTGCAAGACAACCTGCTTTAATCTGCTGAAACTGAAGCTGAATAGAAACATCACCTTTCAGCCAAAGCAACACAGGAGTGGTTGAACAACAAAAAGGTGAATGTTTTATAATGGCCAAGTCAAAGTCCAGATCTCAGTCCAACTGAGAACCTGTGGCACTGCTTGGAATTGCAGTCCACAAGCGTCATCCAACCAACCTGAACAACCTGAAGCAAATGTGCTAAAAAGAACATATGAAAATCACTCACGAACAGTAAGTCACTCGCAAAGCTGGTAGATATTTAACCCAACAGTCTTAAAGCTGTTATTGCAGCAATAGTGGTTCCACCAAGTACTAGTCTGAAGGGGTTGAATATTTAAGCAAGCAGCATTTTTCAGTTTATTTTAAAGATCTATTGACAATGAATTTTGACTGTGAAAACTGACTTTGAGCACATTGGTTTACAATAAAAAATACTGTCTGGAACAATCTGTATAAGTGTCATTTGTAACCCAGATGAATATGGTTGCTTTTAAGGTGGCTTAATACGTTTGAAGGGCACTGTATACATATACATTTACTGTGCACTTTATTAGGAACACTACACTAATACTGAGCAGGGCCTCCCTTTGCTCTCAGAACGTCCTCAGTTCTTTGTGGCATGGACTCCACAAGATGTTGGAAACATTCAATTGAAATTCTGGTCAATGTTGATATGATTGCATCATGCGATTCCTGCAGATTTTTCAGATGCACTTTCATGCTCTGAATCTCCCATTCCTTCAGATCCTGAATCCAATATAATACCTTTCCAGATCCAGATCCAGTGACTGGGAAGACCACTGAAGAACAATGAACTCATTGTCGTGTTCATGAAACCAGTTTGAGATGACATTTGCTTTGTGACATTACACATCATCGTGCTGGAAGTAGCCATTAGAAGATGGGTAAATTATGGCCATGAAGGGATGCACATGGTCAGTAACAATATTCAAAACAGGCTGTGGCATGTGAGCAGGGATTGATTTGTATTTACAGACCCAAAGTGTGCCAAGAAAACATTCCTCACACCATTACACCACCTCCACCAGCCTGGACTGGGTCCATGGGTTCATGCTACTGGCGCCAAATTGTGACCCTTCCATCTGTGTGCATCAGCAGAAATCGAGATTCATCAGACCAGGCTTTGCTTTTTCAGTCTTCAACTGTCTAGTTTTGGTGAGCCTGTACTCACTGCAACCAACTTTCTATTCTTGGCTGACAGAAGTGGAACCCGAAGTGCATGTGTTTATGCACTGCACTGCTGCCACATGATCGGCTGATTACATGACTGCATGAATGAGTAGGTGTATAGGTGTCCCTAATAAAGTGCTTGGTGAGCGTGCATTTGAAAATAGAACTTAAAAAAAATAGCAAACTGTGTTAGTTTGTGCTGTGGCATGCATGTACTTTCACTTTCTACTCCTGTTTTTGGGCCTGGAGAAAGAAACGCTAATAAAAACATCCACACTGTTTATCAATTACAAATGAGCCACTAATGTTGATTGTTCATCCCTCAAAGAGCTTCTAGAGAAACGCACCAAGATTTAAATTTAAATGCCTCTAAAATTCCAAAAGGTATCTCACACAAAGTCATTATTCTACATGGTTAAGAATATACTGTTTCATGATGATGATGATGATGTTGTTTCACACCTGAAACGTTGTTTTACGTTATGAAAAGGCTTCGTCCTAAAATGCACTTTTCCCCTAATATTCATGACAGTTGTACATAAAAAGTGTTACAAGGCTAAGCAGCACCCACAGAAAACTCATTTTGTCTGACTTACCACTATTTTATCATCGTCAACATTAACATATTAAAACTCAGTCACATATCGCCACCTGTTGTTTTGGATAGTAAATAAAATGGATAGTATTCAAATATTTGCATTGTAGACCGTGCAACCCCTGGTTTCTATACCGCTAATGTAAAGAAATCTAAGTAATCAGAGTAATTTTCTCTAGAAGCAACCACTGCACATCAAACCAGTCCGACTGCAAAATCTCAACAACTGAATTATGCAGAATTTTAGCAAAATTTGCACAAAAACTGGTGGAATTCCCAGAATTTCTAACATCTAAAAAGTCTTATATTTAGTCACAGGAGAGCCTGCCTGCATGCAACCAATCACTCCTCTACATGAACAATATAGGATACAATGATAAGATAACACCTCCAGTTTACTTGGTGTTAACCATTATTTATTCTAAGCGTACAAAAAAACAAACAAAAACAAAACAGTTGGGAGCAATGCAGAATTTTTGTAATACAGTCTAGTGAATGTTTTGGCAACAGAGGTTTTGTCTATATTCGCAGCTTAGTTACATATTTGTACAGTTCCTTTGCTAAATGACTTTCCCCCTGTAGAGTTTGGATGCAGACCAAAGATCGCTGTAACTGAGAGCCATTATCTGCTGGTGTGAATTTCCAAACTCCTCTAACTCCTCTTCATACATAAGTCTTTTGCTAGTAAACTAAGACTGATTCTTTGCAGTCTTTTAAGTCTTGTTACATGACTAGACAGAGACCACAAAGCCTCTCTCGACTTGCAAAAGCTATGTAATGGGATTTACCAATGTGGTAAAACCAGACTGCACATACACACAGAGCCCAGTCAGGGTTTCTCAGGCTTTGCTCTCTATAACCAGTTATCCACATATGTGGTTCACTCGCTCTGTTTTTTCTTTCTCTCAGTCATTGTTGGGGGTCTCCTGTTGCTCCATGGGGGCAGGGTTGGAGGAGGGTGGAGAAGGGATTTCTCCCGAGCCATACTTGCTCTGAAGGGAGCGGGCCACATAGCGCCAGTATTCTCTCCGAATAGTATCCTTCTCCTGGGCAAGCAGCTCACAAAGCTGGGAACAAAAGAGACAGAGAGGGATCAGGACAGTGAGAATGTTTACATTCACATTTATAACACCTAATAATGTTTAAACAAGGACTCAAGAGGTAATGTAAAAGACATCAGATTTTAAAGAATCAGATAAAGACATCTCAGCCTCGTTTAGAAAACGTACAAAAAGGTGTTCTTCAAATGAATTCCCAGCATTTACATACAACTGATGCAAAAAACTATGCTCAAGAATCACATTTTATAGTATTATATTTACAGTATTTTATTTTTATATGTGACTCTACAGGTTCTACTTTGTCTGCTCCAACTTACTAATTCTTAGGAAAAAAAAAACAAACAAAAAATAAAAACAAAATATGACGCATATGGTGTTTCATGAAAATATCTTGTATTCTGATATTTTTGCCATATCATACGACCCCATTTCCAAAAAAGTTGGGACGCTGTGCAAAATGTAAATAAAAACAAAATGCAATGATGTGCAGATCATTTAAACCCTTAATTTAACTGTAAATAGTACAGAGACAACATATCGAATGTTGAAACTGAGAAATATTATTGTTTTTTTGAAAAATATATGCCCATTTTAAATTTGAAGCCAACAACACGTTCCAAAAAAGTTGGGACGGGGGCAACAAAAGGCTGGTAAAGCTGTGTAATGCTAAAATAAAACCCGTTGGTTGATTTGCAACAAGTCAGTAACATGATTGGGTATAAAAAAGCATCGCAGAGAGGCTGAGTCTTTCAGAAGTAAAGATGAGGAGGGGTTCACCACTCTGTGAAAGACAGTTTTTCATCATCTACGATACATAATGCCATTAAAAGATTCAGAAAACCTGGAGAAATCTCTGTATGCAATGGACAAGGCCAAAAACCAGTACTTGCACATATACATATGTTTTGGCAACATATGCTGCCATCTAGAGGACGTCTTTTTCAGAGGAGGCCTTGCTTATTTCAGTAAGACCATGTTAAACCACATTCTGCACATATTACAGCAGCATGGCTCTGTAGTAAAAGAGTCCGGGTGCTAAACTGGCCTGCCTGCAGTCCAGACCTGTCAACACTAAGAACCTTTGGTGCATTACGATATGAAAAATACGACAAAGGAGACCCCGAACTGTTGAGTAGCTGAAATCCTATATCAAACAAGAATGAGAAAACATTTCACTTTCAAAACTACAGCAACTGGTCTACTCAGTTCCCAAACGCTTACACAGTGTTGCTAAAAGAAGAGGCCATGAAACACAGTGGGAAACATTCCCCTGTCCCAACTTTTTTGGAACGTGTTGCTGGCATCAAATTTAAAATGGCCATATATTTTTCAAAAAACAATAGAATTTCTCAGTTTTAACATTTTATAAGTTGTCTTTGTAGTATTTTCCTTTAAAATATGGTTTACATGATTTGCATATCATTGCATCCTTTTTTTATTTACATTCTGCACAGCATCTCAACTTTTTTGGAAATTGGGTTGTACAAATACATGTCATATGCTCATGTATTTGGACAGAAATCCAAGTACTGACTGATTCATGTACAACCTGAGTTTTCCCACTGTCATGTAAATTGGATGCATTTTCCTCAGTTCAGAGGAAAATTCATGTAAATAAAAGAAAACAGAAAACACATTTAAAAGAGACACATCATGGGTCAAAAATAACAAAAGTTCTCATTTCCGAGTGGTGCTAGAACATCTTTAAAAGGGCAGCACTCAGTAATGTTTGTTTATTTGTGCTTAAACTGGTTCTGTTTTCAGTTGGAAGCTACTAAGTATTCACAACTAGCTGTCTTGTATCCTAATTTGGCCAATGTGACCACTTTAGGCTTGTACCCTAATAGCTGCACAAAATTAATAAAAAAGATGATAAAATTGTCAATTACAATTTTATATACACGGCAGTTAACTGTCAGGTAAATTTTCATAATCATGATGGACCAAACATAAACATTCTCAGCCAGACAGAGAGGGAGATGGAGAGGGAGAGGGAAAGGGAGAGAAGATAACCAATTAACATGCTGCAGCAACAATTAATGCACTCTATTAAGACAATGAAATTAGTGATTTAGTGAACAGTGATCTCAACATTAATAGTAAACTCCACAGCATTAGAGACAGGTCAGCAAAGACATGGCATTTTTCACACAGGAAAACACACTGGTTTGTAGCATTCCTACGGGAAAACCAGACCTCTCAGTGAGGCAGTGAAAGCCCTTTAGCTTCCAGAAAAGCGACCCTACTGCTAACGATTGTCAATATTCAGCGTTTCATACTCTATCTAAAAAGGTCACTGCTTCCAATTCTGCACTGCTGTACCTTTTTGTTTTCATAACACCACTCCTCAAGCAGGAGATGCAGAGGAAAAAAAACTGTTTTGTAATGTTTTAATTAAAGAATCTTTGTGTACTCGCTACACGTACTTGCCTTCTTAGAACACTGCTTTGTCTATTTTACAGTAACAGGATTCTGTTCTTCTCACAGAGGACATTCATTTTTTATTGCCCCTTTACCGTTGGAAAAGGCCTACATTATTCTCCATCTCTCTGTATGAGAATCGCAACAGTTTGACTGCTGCTGAAATCTGTATCTGCAGTGTCATATCACTCTGCAAGGGGACAAAAAGCAGAAAATCAAGCAGGCCTTCTGTCCCAAAACTCCAATCATCCACATCATCATGACAACCCAGTGTAGCAAACACAGTGCACTGAAACCTCATTAACCCAACCACAGCCGCCACATATTCATCCAACACGCGCTGCCACTCAAACAGCACACCACAGCCATCGCTGGATTATATGAGAGAGAAAAAGAGAGGGAGACAGATAGAACAGGGCAGAGAGAGAGTGTGAGGGAGAGGTGGAATATATCAGTATTAATGAACACAGTGCAAGTGCACGTCTCAGATCCTTCCTCCTTCTCGTTCTTCTTCTTTTCCTTCCTTTCCGCTGTGTACAGAGTGTTCATTGTTCCTGATCAATCATTCATCAATCTTTCAACAGGTTAATACTTCAGCATCTCTGGCAAAATATTGGGCTTTCAATTCTAAATCTGATTCCCTTTGATCAAAATGGAAACAGGTCTCAACACGATTTTCATATGGATTGTCCAATCGTAAAATATCAAAACAGCCTGATGAAATATGTACGGCTATGGGTAAATCGAGTCAAAGAGAAATAAAATATCCTGTTAAACTTTAAGAACATATCAAAGACAACCTGATCAAACCTAGTGAACGTTCCTCTTCCTAGGATGCAAGCGGTTGTAATACTCTCCTGCATAATACGCCTTCCGTTCTATAGATCTGCGCTTTCTCGACTAAATCTAATCCTCTCTAATATAAAATTCTTTTTATGTGGTTCTCACGGTCACCTCACAGACGTTATAATAGCTCTCTATTCATGTCAGTGATTAAATGATCTGATTCCACCGGAGAAAGCTATCAAATTGAATATGCTCTTTTTCCTTTTGTACGTAGCCATGAGGAGGCCTTCTTTAATTTTTTACATGATTAAACAAAGCATTATAAATTCTTCAGATCTGCCCTTTGTGTCAAAATCATTTAGCCCAGTGCTACTTTAGAGCTTTTGCTGTGTACTTGTTTATCCAGTCCTAACATTCAGAGTACACTATATTTCCAAAAGCATTCAGAAACCTCTTCTAATTTATCCTTTTTAGGGTGCACCTTCTCCTGACATAGTCGTTCAATTACACAAACACAGCTTATACACAGGGCTAGAACGATAAGCCATTCTGAAATATCGATACGTCAGGGCTTTTTTAAGGCCTGAGTTTGAGTTTTACAGACAACAAAAAGCAAGTAAAAACAAGTCTTAAAAAACGTACGCATTAACACTGATGCAATCTTTTACTTCAGAATTTATGTTTGCTCCTATGATTTGTTAACTCTTTTTAAAGCTCCACGCTGAAGCAGATCCTCAAACTCCCCCAGACACATATTCAGTGCTGCTGTAGAGCTATTCTGTGAGTTGGTAACAAACTTTTTAGCAGAATGTTCTTAGAGCTAAACCATTTGTGCAAAGTATCTCACTGCAGTTCTTCCGATCAATATTGTGACTTTACAGTGACAATATCTGAATTGTGATTATTTTCTATAAATTGCGGTCCAGGCTGTTTTTATAATTTTCTAATGATTTGTTTATAATTACATTTGATAATTTTCTTGTGGTTTGACAAACTGCCACGTATGATGTCAAAGAACACGTATATTTGACTGCTTCTGACTGGTCAGAACTCATCTACTAGAACTCATCTATGTGCAGTTCACAAGCTGTGTTATTAAATTCACATTCACCTTGCTTAAAACAACACTGTTAAGACAACATGGTCAATCATATAGGCTACAACAAAAATAGTAAGTCCTGCGATATGAAAACTGCACTCTTGAATTGTGCTTTTGATATACAAATTCATCTTTCAGCCCTAGCTGTTACCCAATGTCTGTATTTGAACTGCACTGGCTAGAACTGTTAACTTAAATTCTGCTTAATGAATCCATATCTTCTTCCTCTTCATCTCTTCATTTTAGTGCGTTACAAACTGCATCTCCTTGTTTCACCCATAAACTGACTCAGTGGGAAAACATCTCGCAATGACTAAACATTAAGCTCTAATTAAGAATGAAAAAACTGTTTCTGATGGTGTTTTCCTTAAGTGGTAGTGTGACAGTCACTTATGGAAAGCTCAATGCTGAGTGTGTGAATGAAATAAAACCAGGACTGGAGTTTCAGATCGCGCATCAGACTGCAGAACGCCCCTGCATACAAAAACAAAAAAAATTCTACCTATTGATTTCATGGCTGTTATAGACTATAACCGATAAATTTATAAGACTTGTACAATCTTCATAGAAAGGCATTGTCCACAGAACTGGATGCTCTGGAGCAGCCACTCAAGACTCCAAGCTCACCATGCCCAATGCCAAGTGTACAAATGTTGTTTTTCACTTTACAGCCATTTATTTGGAGCAAAACCATTGCCTTCTTGTTCCCACCTGAAAAGCAATGGTTTGCTTTGCTCCAAAATCTGATTTCACTTATATCAAGTCAGTAGAATTTTTTCATGTTCTCTGGCTCTAAATTAGTTTGACAGCATCTATAAACATAGTCGTAGTGAGCTGGTGCAGCACCAGCATCTGTTTTTAACTCCTTAAAGGTTCTACACAAAATGCTTCAGTTTATTTATATATTTATATGTATTTTACAGAAAACAAATGCAAATAAGTATGTATATACTTATACACTTTATACTACTCTTAGTATTCTTTACTACAAACCAAATAAAGGTGGGGGCTGTGAGTTAACAACCCCTTTTGAGCTTACCTCCAAGGCCTTGTTAAGTGTTTCTGTCTGGTCGTACTTGGTGTTGCTGGTCTCGAGCGCGTCCTCGAAGAAGTCCACCAGGAACCCAAGCAGGTATGGAGAACAGAATGTCTCCCGCAGTTCCTCAACTTGTTCCAGCAGCCCAGGGTACGATGACAACCCTCCAGGCTGCAGAATCCTACCCCACACAAACCATACACAAGGTTGTTAGTCCATAATTATACAAACAAACAAACAAATAAAAAAACTGCACCTTTTAAACACAGATGTACAAAGGGTTTTACAGAGTGCTTCATAAAAATACAAGAAATCAAAGACTATTCAGTAAAACTGAAGGAAAAAAACAATATAATTATGAAAAATACTAAAAGATAAGTAAAAAAGCACTGGGAGTCAAATCTAACCAGGAAAAAAAACAATATAGTGTAATTCAAGAAAGACACCAATTTATTTAAATACAATAATACATCTTAAATACGTTTTAGATAAAATCTCCACTTGGCATATGTAGATGTGATCAGCATATTACATTTTGTACTGTGATTGTAAAATTAGGCAAGCTAGTATTTGAGCTGTTCCAGGCTAACAGGCTGTTTTGGTGTAGTGAGCTTTTCCCTTTTCTTTCATTAAAATCCACAGGAATGGCTCTGAATCTACTATAACAGTAAATGGCACCATCTACTGTTTGTGTGTCAACATTACACTGCTGGAACATAAACAGACCTTCCGAATTACAAATTTGAAGATTTATGAACACTCACACAAGCAAAATGAAACTTTTACTGACACATACCCTTTCAGATAGTTCCAGGCACTTTCATTGTGGGGTGCTTTCTTGATTTGTTTTATGCTGTACCTTTTTCCAAAAAAGAGAAAGAATAAATAAACACCTGTAATAAGTCATTGTAAAAAACAACAAACAAAACAAATGGAGTCTGATACCCATAAAATGAAACCAAAACCTATCCACTTTTGGAAGAAAAAGAAAAATCCTTGTTTAAATGTAACATATCTGTGACAAAACTGGCCTTGTGTAACTGCATCACTCACTGCACTTCTCGCTCCAGTACTTCAGGGGAAGAGTATGTGGAGGTATGAGTGATAACGAAGTGCCTTTGGTTCCAGGCAGAGTTATTCCTCACATCTTCCTCCAACAGCTCGTCTACATACTCCAGCTCACCATCCCACAGGTTATACGTCTGAAATCACACAAACAAGCATGCTGTAAGACACCCAAAAGCTTTCTGCTTCAAATTTTACATTTACATACAGACTAATCCACTACCCCACTGCTCACAAAAGTATGAACACAAATACAATACAGCTACGACATGTTACAAAGCCTGCAGCTACAGCTACTGAACCAAGTTCAGCAGATTAAAAAGGTACAAATTAAGTGGTCTTTGAAGCAGTCAATGGTTTCTATATTTGATTTTCCACTTACCCCAAATGCCGTCAATCAGCCAATAATTTGTCCGGTGTTTTGCTTCTTTTGCATTGAACTGGAGCTGCTAGGCTAACGGAGCTAACAAACACTATCAACAACCACCCTAACCGCATCCACAAATACGAATCAAAATCTTCATATATTTGCGTCAGTAAGCTACATAAATTCAGCACAGGAGCATATCTTAGGCTTGATTACTGTAGGAGAGTTACAAGTCACATATCAAATAACAATAAACCTACAAAAATTAGGTGTTTCATTCCATTTTGCAAAAACAAACAATGAAATGCAGTCTGACACTGTGCCACTGATTTCCTACCGACACAGACACATGCAAACTGATTTTTGGCAATGAACCACAAAGTAGCAACAGGATAATTTAATAAAGTTACCGTGCAAAATCTCCATGTATGTGGTGATCATTTTTACCTGCCGATTACAAAGGTCTCCCTTAGCCCTGTCCTTTGTCGTCTTGTACCAAATGACATCAGCTTTAACATACATCATGTGATGCTCTTGGGCACATCATTAGTGACGGTACCTGGAGTCACTGGGCATTTTGGGTCTTACAACTATCAGACACCCTCTCCCAGGTAACCCTACCAGTGTTGATCAACTCTCAGCCTGTGTCCAAGTAGCACACCATGGATCGGCCCTCTTTATCCAGAGCCATCTTCTCTGATGGCTCCTCTCTTGTGCTGCCCTGTAATGTCAAGGAGGCTATACGCTTTGCAAAGTGTGTAGCCAAGAAAACCTCTGCAGCCCCTCTTCTATAGGCACACATGTAGCACGCAACCCCCCTGGGCAGCACTGTTCCACCAGACCTGCGTATTTGGCCTTCTTCCTCTCACTGGCCTCAGTGAGCTCAAGCAATGGCTATAGCTTTGGTTTTTCCTCAATGTGGTCATATCCAATTCCACCCAGTAGTTAGGAGTCCCTAAATCACATAATACCAGCAGCGCTACGAGGGCGAAAGGAAGCACAGGCTTCCACCGAGACCTCTGCAATGAGCCACTGGCTCCTTTTCGAACTGCTGCTAAGGCAACGTCACTGGACAGCTGAACACGCTCGGAAGAAAGTGCCAACAGCTCTGGTTCTGTTAAGCCAGCTAACAGACATCTGCACTCACTAGCATCTCGCTGAGTCCGGCTGGTCCTACCCACCCAGAGAGTGAGGCCAATTGTGCTCTCTTGGACTTCCAGCTACGGATGGCTGTAGCATCACCAGGGATCAAACTTGCGATCTCCTGATGATATGGCCAACGTTTAGGCAGTGGTGCCACTCAGGAGCCCCAGCACTCGATTTGTTGTTGCTGAGAAGAGGACAATATCAAGGCACAGGGTGGTCTCTGCGATGTTCCTAGGGAACCGGGGCTGCCTTCCGAGACCCACCTTCAGTTGCCAGTCCTTTGCTGTACTACGTATGGACTCTAGTTTTAAACTCTGGATTCTCTAGGATTCCGCTGGGACAAATAAACTGGCCTTTCTAGGTGGTTATAATTTCTTGGACCGTTCAAGGGCATTGCTAAAAGGTACCTGATGTTAACTTCAGCACCAGGTCATGGCGCCGACGATAGCAACCTTACCCTAGCGCTTTAGGGCAACAGCTCAGGATGTGTTCCAATGTTCCTCTTTTTTGGTACAACTGACAAAGTGGCGTTTCACTCTTGCCCCAACTGAAGAGGTTTGATGAACTGATCAACACATCGTACACCGACTGGATGAAGAACTTTATCCTGAGGGTTCTGCCTGCCAGAGGTCAGAACAGGAGATCTGTAGCTTGTTCCCACACTTTGCTGCCGCATCCCAACCACATGGCTCACATGTAGCTCCTCTATTTCAGTTCTCACTTCTGTCTGGACCAGTTTTCTGCTGTCCTTGTCCTTGGCTTTGTCAAACAGTTTAGGAGACTTGTCTTCCAATGTTTGTTAGCAACTTCGTCCTAGCAGCTCCTAGCCTATCCTAGCATTCATTTTCACTACAGTACATGCATCTGATGCTGACACAAGATTTAACACAGTCCCTGAGCAATAAAGCAAACTATCAAATCCAACCTCATCTGCTAAAGATATCAGAATAGAGGAGACAAGCACAGACATGACCCTTATGCTATGCGACTGTTCCCTATTCTCCCACAAAGGTTACTGTTTGTCCTCTGATACTCCATTCCCTCATATGAAACAATTTTGCTGAAGAAATCTCTCAATATGTAAAATATCTGACCTTATACTCATCATTTATTCCTGTAATTCACCTCTTACAGCATCCTTATCAGAAGCTTCAAACAGGCTATTGCGACACCTGAACTATTCTAAGATTCACCCTCACATTGCTTTTTATGATTTCATGTGTCTGTGCTTCAAAACAAACCAAATTCCAAATAACACAGGCATACCACTTACTAGAAGTTTGCAAGGCTGTAAAGAAAAGCTGTATTGCTACGGAGTGAGGTCATGTGGACCTTTACCTGAATGACCCACTGTCTGTGCTGCCATGCGTGGTAGTTCTTGGCATCCTGACTGAGGATCTCTGCTATGAACTGCAGCTCTTCGGATGGATCATTAAGCCACTCAACCACCATGCGCCTATGATGCCTTCAGCCAAGGACAGAGGTCAGAGTCAGAACAGAATAGTTTCAACAGTAATGCAATACTGTAAACATATCAACTCAGAGAATAAAGCATATCAAGAGGCAGACCGCTAACTACACAAGTTTAACGTTATAGACAAACAAAAAGGTCAAACGCACAAAGAAGCAGCTTCTCAGTGGGTGTATGCATGGCCATAAGTACATACAGACAAAATCAAATAATATATCCTGTAATTAACAAAGTGACTTAGCTTCATCAATTAAATAGGTAATAGAACACAATACAAGGACGTGACAACCTGTAAAATAATTAGAGGTTAGTTAACTGGTCATTAAGCTATTAAAGTGTATATCTGAAATTTGAAAGTGATCCATATGTTCTGAGCTTGCATGAGAGCAATCGTACAGAAAAGTTGCAAATCAATTAAACTACACCGGCTTAAAAGTGAGTTTTATCACTGAAACACACATAATCAAAAAATTAAATGGGCATGCTGTAGATCAGGGCTAAGGGGCAAAGTGTGACATGCAGGCCAAAATTTGCCCAAAAGAATGTTTGATTTGGCCAAATTGCCCTAACCCCACTCCCTCACCCAATGAGAAATTTTTTAAACTGTATTTTTTTTTGTATTTTCTCCCCAATTTGGTCGTCTCCAATTCCACCCGCTAGTTAGGACTTCCCCAGTCAAACGATACCATCAACGCTAGGAGGGCGAAGGCTAACACAGGCTTCCTCCGAGACGAACTTTTCGAACTGCCGCTCACGCAACGTCACTGGACAGCCGAACGCGCTCGGAGGAAAGCGCCAACCGCCAGATCTGTTACGTCAGCTAACAGAAGCCTGCGCTGACTAGCTTCGCGCTGAGTGATGGGGGGAGGAGGAGGGGCCATCCTACTCACCCAGAGAGAGCGAGGCCAATTGTGCTCTCTCGGACTCCCGGCTACGGATGGCTGTAGCATCACCAGGGATCTAACTCGCGATCTCCTGATGATAGGGCCAACGCTTAGACGGTTGCGCCACTCGGGAGCCATTTTTAAAATATTTTTTAAAATAAAGTTTAATTCGATCCCTGGTGATGCTACAGCCATCCGTAGCCGGTCTCCAAGAGAGCACAATTGACCTGGCTCTCTCTGGGTGGGTAGGATGGCCCCTCCTTCTCCCCACGTCACTCAACGCGATGCTAGTCAGCGCAGGCGTCTGTTAGCTGACGTAACAGAACTGGCGGTTGGCGCTTTCCTCCGAGCGCGTTCGGCTGTCCAGTGACGTTGCGTGAGCGGCAGTTCGAAAAGATGCGGTGGTTGGTTTCACAGGTCTCGGAGGAAGCCTGTGTTAGCCTTCACCCTCCTAGCGTTGATAGCATCGTGTGATTGGGGGAGTCCTAACTAGCGGGTGGAATTCGAGACGACTAAATTGGGGTTAAAAATAAAAAAATAAATAAATTAAATAAAATATTTTAAAAATAGTGAAACGTTATAAAAATACCTTTCTTCTAAATTACATTTAAAGCCTACTTACTTTCTTTATTAATATTATTTTGTCTTTTTGGCCATCCACAAGCACTGAATTGTGACCTCAAGACAAAACTTTTGCACCACTGTTGCAGATCTTCATACAAGGTATAACTTTGTCACTTTAGACCAAGCAGAACATTTTCCATGTACTATTAAAGGAAGTTGCTGGAAATTAATGACTTAAATGACTGATGCATTGGTGTTTTACCAGACTTGGTAGTTCTTGGGCTGATCTTCTATGATAGCTGAGATATATTTCATTTCTTCTCGCAGATCCTTCTCCAAAGCCTGCAGCAGTACTCTCCTGTAATGCCTATAGACATGACCCAGCACACAAAATATGAAGAAAACATTAGCAATGATTTGTCAGCGCATCACAATCATAAGTGAATATAAATTTACCACTCTTATGCAAAGTACAGTGTATGATCAAATGTATGAGGACACCTGACCATCACACCTATATCAGTTTCCTGGCTATATCATTCCAAAACCATAGCAACTAACATGGAGTTGCGCCTAACCCCCACCCCGCCCCCTCAACTTAATAATTGGGCGGGATGTCCACATACTTTTGGCCATATAATGTACTTTACTATCATCACCCATTTTCCAAAGTACAAACTCACCATACAGTGTAATTTGCTGCATTCAGGTCAATAGCTTCAGCGGTCAGCGCAAATGCTCGCTCACTTTTCTCATCATTCTTCAGCAACGCTCTGAAGTAGTCATACACATCTGCGACTGTAAAAGGCAAACCATTAGTGATCAGAGCGCCTACTGTCTTATACCAAAATGGGTGTGTGTGAAGTCTTACCAGATATACTTACATCTGTCTGAATAGGCTATTTTCACCACAGGGTTGGGCCCATCGTCCTGAGGAACAGGCTCCAGATCTGCCCATTCTTTCCTATCCCTTTGAAAACAAAAGAATGAAGCTTAGTTATGTTGTGCACATGCATTTGATGGTATAACAATGTTAGCTAACACTAGCGTAGCCAGCTAGTTAGCAAGACGAAACCAGAGTCAAATTCATCTCATCGTTCACTGCTACTGGAACGCCGGCTAACCAGCTTAGCTTTATAAATCTCCACCGATATGAAACTACCCAAGATGAATTAACGTTAGCGCTGCACTCCATTATTTGTAAACGCGCATCTTAGAACAGCCGAAAATTCGATTTAAAGCAAACAGGTGGTGCTATAACGGCCAGCTTAAAGTTATAGAGCCAGGTTAAGTAGCTAGTTAGGTTAGCTAGCTAGCATCCAGTGACACTTGCTAACGTTACAGTATTTAGCTGTTACCTGTAAAACACATATCCTCCACCTCGCGGAGGCTCTTCGTCTTCAATGTCTGGTTCTCCTTCGACATTGTCGCTAATTGCCTTTTCCTCCTCCACTGCGTCCGACGCAGAGTTGGGGAGTTCTTCGATTTCTTCGACTGATGACATTTTGAAAGGAACTTCGTTAAACTAACTAACGCTAGCCAGCTATCTCGCATAAATGGGCGAATGGCTAAGCTAGCTGCATTTGACACTACACACATAAGACCGCTGAGAAAAAGTAACATTCAAAATAAAAGTCTTGTCTCATGCTGGCTGTGAATTACCGCATTTACACTTCTAAGTGCCAAATAAAGCAGGGTCAGAACTTTTCTGTAGTGATGTTGAGCAGTAAACTGATGACAGATCAGATAAAAATGCAGTTTTCACAACCATTTCGGTAGCATGGATTTTATTCGAAATAAGAGTCGTTTGTATGTAGTAAATTCTGTTTGTAATAAGACCCTAAGAGAGGACGTAAGAGACCCCTCCTAGTAAGCTACTAAGTAAACTTTTTAACCCCAAGTTTGTTATTAGAAAGCTAATTTTAACAAATGAAATACAAGGGAAAAGTAAAATACGGGTGAAGTTCTAAGATATAAGTAAAATACTAATAAAATACAAAATACTCAGAGAAAGAATTCACAAGTAAGATAAAAAGTAGAATTATCATGTATCAAAAATCCAGCTTTTACTAGTAGGAGTTACATTTCAGCAGTAAGATTTCATTTCCCACAAGTAAGAATTTTCCCATACGTTTTTATGGAAGTGGTAATTATTACTATGAATCAAATTATAACGTGCTAATCCATTTTTTTCCGGGTCAAAACTGAAATTTAGGTATTTTAACCGTTCTAAAAATATATATTCAAAGCAAAAACAGCCACTGTACAGCTCTTTTACACTCTGCTTTCTCAAATCTTCCATATTTGATAATTCCAACAAGGCATGAACGCTTTTTCTTCAGGGGTGCTCAGACTGTAGAGGGCGCTCCCGAGCCCGAATCCATTTTTTTTTTCATTAAACTTTGCACAAATAATACACAGCCAAGGGGACTGAGATGAAAAATAAAATAAACACATAAATTAATAAACTGAACAAAAGTAAATGGAACAATGAAAAAAACTGTTTAAGAAAAAAAATCAATAAAATAAAGGAGACAAGAATACAATATCATAAAACAGATTATTTACACAAAATGCCATCATCACGCCAACAGAACACAGGTTCCAGGAATTACAGCTTTTTTATTACAAAAGAAGAATAAGGATTTCAAATAATACTCCACATCTTTGATAAGGTGACAAAATAGGGGTCTGCTCTTTTGCACTTTACACTTATGTATATAGCACTTTGCTAATAAAATAATTATATCACTTCGATAGTTTGTAAACCCAAATAAAACACTTTCTAGATAAAGTTGAAGTTCACTATAAATAAGTCCAAGCTACAGATATTCACAGCCTTCCAGGGTGGCAAACGGCGTGAACGCTGCGTGAATCAGTGTCAGACTGAGAGCGTCACTATGGAGCCGGTTGCCAGGGAGACGGCTTTTGTGACGCAGTGAGCTGCAGAAACTCATCTCTCTGTTCTGTCCAGCCTGCGGAGGTGAGGTGAGCAGATACTAAAGTTTAGTTGCAAAGTTCAGCTTCTTTAAAGTTGCAGTACCTTTAAGACCTTTTTTGTGTTGTCAGCATCTTGAATCTCCGGACAGAAAATATCAAGGTTTGCCCTGAATTCGTAAAGACCGGATGGGCTCCTCTGAGCTGGGCTGGAAGGTCGAAACTCCGCAGAGACTGAGCGCTGCTGCCAAACTGCTAAGTGCTGTTACTGATGTTTACCATCGTGATGGAGCGGAGGAGTTCAGTCTCGAACAGCAATCAGGTAGCCTAAAGCAGATCTACTCAGTTACTGCTTATATATGCATTAAAGTTTAAATGTTTATTATACTGGAGTTTACAGTGCCCATTAATATCATACTCAGAAGACACTGATGGTTCACTCTGAATGCAGAGAAAGGGAGAAAAAATGTTGTCCAGCTCAGTTAGATTATGTTATAGCTGACATACTTTGGTCAACAAAATGAATAATTGCTGTCCAGCAGAAATCTGAACCACAGAACTTACAGTCTTTTCTAAAAAGATTCATCTCCATGTGTGAGATTTATAAACCCATCATTAGGGGTGGAATATGGCAGATGATCTGTAAAACATAAGGGTCTGTATGTGAGTTGTTTCTCACTCAGCTTTAATGGTATTAAAATATAATAACATTTTATAGTAGTTACATAATAATTTAGAATTGAGTTATAAACTGGTTTTAGTTAACCTAGGCCTCTATATGTTACCTATGAATCATGCTATGAGCTTTCTTGGGGATCTGCTTACATGAAATGACATTTGTTTTATAGATTGTATAATATCCAGTGTCAAATAGAAGTAAAGTTACAGAAAATCAGGCATGGCTGAAATCACGTTGATTAACTGAAATCGTAAAATCTCATGGATTTTGAAGAAAAAGTTAATCATTACAATCACTGCTCATTTTAGTCTATGTTAAGTTGACTTTCCTACATCCTTTCAAGATTGGAATTACTTTAAAGTTGCATCACTGTGGTAATTGGACATGTCTAACCAGACATGAGTGGACTCTCAAGCAGAAAGCCGTGCTGCACTGGTGGAGGAGGCTGAGAGGCTGCTGAAAAGCAGGGCTGGGACAGGAGACACGCAGGCCAGCTTCCTTCTTGGACACCTCTACTATAAGGAGGTAATGGCATGTTTTCCTTCCAGCCCACCTTTACCCCCACCCTCACCTTACTATGGTGTCTCCTGGGCCTTATTACTCACAGCTCAACCATGTATCGTTTGTATTAATGTCTTTATAGAACAGTGTCTTGTTGAAAGATAACAACCTTGATTTTCAGCCTTACGCATATACTGTAGAACAGGGTCAGCATTTGGAGTCCTGCACAACATGATGATTTCTCTGCTCAAACACACTAACTAAAGCTGATCTTTACCTGGTGAGTTGAATCAGATGCATTTAACCAGAAAATCACCCCACTGCATTGGACTACAGCCCTCCAGGAGTTGAATTGATGACCCCTGCTGGAGATTAGATATTACACCACTTAGCAGTTAATGCTGAACATCATAATTTATCTCAATTTGCAATAATTAGTCTTGTGCTGCAGGGTCGCTATACAGAAGCTGGGACCGTGTTTGATAGCATTAAGGATGAAGAATCTCAAGCTCTCTACCAGCTGGCTGTAATGTACTATGATGGCCTTGGAACCACAGCAGATCCAGTAAGTTCTGTTTGAATTATTACTTCCCAAAGGAGCTCTCTGATGCATAAGTTTACAGTAGCATATAGTCATTCCTGGCTGCTTATTATGATCTCATTATAATAAAAGATTTGATATCTGTGATCCCAGCTTTAAAAACAGCATTGCACTGTAACTTATCTTTTGAAATTTCTATTTCTGTGATATTATAACTGTGATTATAGTGGATTGCCTAAAGCACTCCTAACTATGGTAGTGGCCAGCCTCAGATGACTCATTGGTTTTATAAAATGCTGACAAAGTTCAATGTGATAAAATACATCATTGTTCCTTAAATATTTTAATTTATTATTATTAATAGTAACCACAATAAACACAATAAACGGTTCTTACACCATACAAATTAGTGGGCTTTGGTTACCAAGCAAAATACAGTCACACATTACTCCATGAACAGCAAACTATCTTTTTAATAATTTACCACATTAACACAGAATTCAAATGATGTCTGTGGTAGTATGTACAGTACTGTGCAAGAGTCAGAGACCACCCTTCATTTGTTTAATTTTCAGTCAAAACAGCCATTAAGTACAAGTTGTTCAGATAGTTCTGAGGAGATATACTTACATAAGGAAGGGGAAAGTCAAAAGAACCAAACTTAAAGCTTTTATCTTTGAGAGAGAGTAGATTTCCATGGCTGAAAAAATCCACAGGTGTTTCTGTCCATCCTTCAAAACAAAGAAAACAAATCAACACTATGTATCTGAAAGGATGTGTAGCTGTCAAGAAGCTGCTGGTGTTCTCGGATCAATGGACTGACCACCCCAGAGTCCAGGCCTCAACATCACTGAATGTGCTTGGGATTACTTAGATCGTCAGGAGCAGAAAATGCAACCAACTTTTGAGACTGAACTCTGGAGAATTCTTTGAAAAAATGTTCAGCAAGCCTCCTAAAAAGAACAAGAATTGTAATAAGGGCAAAAGGTGTACACATTAATAAAAGTTATATGATATTTATGCTTCTGATTCCTGTTAAACATATGTCTTCTGCTTTTTTCCTGATGCTTAAAATGAATAACCGATAACAATGGTCATTTGAAAGTCTCTGACGTTTGCACAGTATTTTACGGTGGCTTCAAACATCCCTAAGCCACTGAGATTTTAGGACGAAAGCTATAATAGAATAATAACAGAAATAATAGAAATACAGTGCAATACAATAATTGCATCATCTCCTGTCATAATATGTCCTAAACAGAGCAAAGCAGTGGACTACATGAGAAGAGTGGCGGAGAGGGATGGAGGCACTCTGAGATACACAGCCTTATACAACCTGGGCAGGGCCTACCTGGAGGGGTACGGAGTTCAGGCCTCCAGTGCAGAGGCAGAGCGGTGAGCTGTTGGGTCAGAGCAACTCCTCTGATTAATAATCAATCACACATCTCCCCAGCTAACAGAGAATGTTACTAGCATATTCAGCAACGTTTCTGAAAGGTTCCAATAAGGTTAGACCATAACGTTACAGAAATAATGTTCCTGAAATGTATTGAAAACGTGTGTTGTGATAATGGTTTGCATCACAACGTTATGAGAATGTTGCTCACACAACGTTCGCAGTCAGACAAAAACTAACATTATAGAAACTTTTAGAATAATCTTCTTACAACTAAAAATGAAAGCAATTTATGCAACATAAAAAGAAGAATTTTCTTTTCACACTCATACATAATACTGAATGAATGTAACATAAAATGTTTTCTAAAGTTATGAGTGGGAGCACTTAGGTGCGGGAGCCTATCCCAGCATTCATCAGGCAGAAGGCAGGAAACACCCTGGACAGGTCACTAGTCCATTGCAGGACAGCATTTATCTAAAGATTCGCTACTGAGTAACTTTTTTCTTTGTTTACTCTGATAAATAGATAAAAGGCTTACGTTTAGAAGATGAATTTCCATGAATTTTTGGAATATGCCTACCAAATGTGAAAAGCCCGCACTGAACTGTGAGAATTGTTGAATTAAGGCGTGGTTCTGAGCACGAGCAGCTTTTCTCCTTTACTGCAGGTACTGGCTCATGGCAGCAGATGATGGAAACCCCTATGCCAGTGTCGAAGCTCAGTGCTCTCTTGGCATGTTCTATTCCAGCCCTGAAACTCAAGATCTCAAAAAGGTACTAGAGCATTACACAGATATTTAACAGCCCACTGACAGTCCTACAAAGAAGGATGCCAACAAACATTTAATGTGCAGTGAGCATTTGGTTAGAGACGGTATCCAGCATAGAGACTGAGTAGACTGGTCAGTGAATTCCAGGGGTGGAAAACACATAACAATTTAATTATTAAAATTAATAATAAGTGTTTTTGAAAGATTTGTGCTTTGCTCAAATATTATCTCAATGGCCATGTGCTTTAACAACATTTGTTTTTATTTCTTCTCGCTATTTATTTATGTTTCCTCCCATTTTATTTATGCATTTATTTATTTTTAAACATGCAATCAAATTCATATCAGCTAAAATGACACTGTCTACTATGCTAATTGATCTTTGTGTAAGGACTATTAGTTGCTACATGAGCAATGTGTTACTGCAGGAGAGAGACTGACAATATGCCTGCATGCCATGTTTATCCTTTGTTTAAGTGTATTTGAATTTTACAAACAGGTTTTTAAAGATTTAAATAATGCAGACTCACTGGTATGATTCCTGGAGAGTGTGATCCACTCATTTTCAGCATTAATGTTAAAGAAAACATGTCATTGCTGTCTGAACAACACCTTGTTTCTCCAAAATAGTAAATAAACTTTACAAGAAAAGGGAGAATTGTCCTAAATTACAATGGAAGTTATCGAAACACAATTTTTTTCAAGTAATTTTGGACCCTTTCTGCTGGTTCATTCTTCACAATATTTTTACACAATGTAAAGGAAGGCCAGTGTCTTCAAATGATATGAAAAAATGACAAACATTGTTGCTGTCAGAAAGGCTTTTTTTAATAGCAACAACTGACATTTTAGTATTATATACTTGACTATGTTGACATGTTGTTTCAACTTCTATTCAACTCAATTTTGGGTCCACTTTTCCCAGTTTTAATTGAATAAGATTTTCAACTAGCACTCATGGTATCAAGTACACTTACAGTTGTGTCCAAAAGTTTGGGTACCCCTGGTCATGTTTTGTTGATTTTCTAAGTGAAAATAAGTTAACGCACCCTTTACAGAGAACACACTTCTGCACATTTTAATACGCAATTATTCTTTGTTTGCTGAATTTAACCTTAATATAAAATGTGGCCTGTGCAAAAGCTATGGCACATTATATATTTTTAATTCGTTAATACATTAATACGTTTTAATATTCCAATACGTTAAACTTTCCAACATGTTAGAATATATGTTAAAACATTTTAAAATATTTAAGTTTGTTCTCTGTAGAGGATGGGTTAATTAATATAATCAACAAAACATGCAATTTGACCAGGGATGTTCAACCTTTGTATACAACTGTAAGCACAGTTTCAGAAGTAATGACATCAGAAAGAGCGACAATGTATCAAGTCTGTACTGTAATTCTAAGTACCTTCACTTTCATACAGGTGAAAAGTTTTATTTAGTAACATATATGTGACCTTAATGCTCCTGCAACCCATTTTCTATTTGCTTTAAACATAGTGTGAAATGACATGTTTCAATAGTTTTAGGTTATATTATTCTTGCCCCACTATTAATCTACCATCAGAACATGTTCTGGGTTTATTTACTTATTCGGGTACTAACTTTTTTTAATTGATTGAACATTTGAGTATTTTTATACTGATAAAACTCGGAAATCAGAGATGGTAATTAAGGTGTAACGTCAATATTTTTCTGGGGGATTGGACAGTTTTTATTTTTATTTTTTCAATTTTCTTCCATTGTATAAAGCATTGTGATGTCAGTTTGAATAGTGCTGTTTGGCATTTTCTGTTCACATAGGTTTGGTATTAGGCATGTTAAACACTTTAAATAAATAAATAAATGTGTGTCTGTACCCCAGGCTTTCTTCTGGCACTCAGAGGCGTGTGGTAATGGCAGTCTAGAGTCGCAGGGGGCACTGGGGGTGATGTATCTGTATGGATATGGTGTATCTAAGGACCTGCAGGCTGCTCTGTACTGCCTGAAGGAGGCTGCAGGGAGGGGTAATGTCTATGCCCAGGGCCACCTTGTAGCCTACTACTACTACCTAAAACTCTACACTAAAGCAGCAGTTCTAGCGAAGAGGTACTGTGAAGCATTGCCTGTTATTATGTACACCCCTCACCCAACACTGGACTAATCCTTAGTAACATGTAGCAACTTATTAATTAATATCTACTCATTATTAGCATAGAACTGATTTATAGAGGCCTCATTAAGTACTTGTTTTTTCCGATGCGTGTTACCATTGGTATATCAGCTTTCAGTATGCAAGTATGATCAGCTGTGACGTAAAAAATGCCAGAACAGAAGACTTTCAGTCTTCCTGTGATAAAATGGAATGAGTACCTGAATGATGGTTTCAGTATTCGAATACTGGCACCTTGAATAGTTAACCGAGTACTCGAGTACCTGAATGCATCTCTTATTTGCAGATATGCAAATTTTGTCATTAGTGCTAAAGTTGTGCTCGTTTTATTGGTCAAAGTGAGGCCAAATGTCAAATCCATTAGTCAGGAAATGGTTATGTGAAATAAATTTCACTGCTTTGGCAGTACTGTTTACTTTAGAGCTTAGAAACTAATTTTGTAGCGTGGTATAGAGTGTTATAGAAGTTTTGCAATAAAGGCAACATTCAAAGGACAATTCAGTTTGTTTACTCTCATTTTTGTGATTAAGACTAACACAATTTCATTGATCCATAAATAATAAAGATACACAAATTCTTTTTCAAAGTATTACTTATTAAAAAATCTGATTATAAAATCAAATAAATGCATGTTGTTCCATTGCAGGATCTGCCAATGTGAAGATATCAGTGCCATAGCGAAGTGCACAGGCTGTGTCCCTGAGTATATCAGTAAAGGCATCACCATCGCCCTCTTCTATTATGCACGCTGTCTACAGCTGGGCCGAGGTGTTCCACAGAACAGAGAGAAAGCTCAGCACTATTACACAAAGGTATTCATGCAGCAGGAAAGCTAAAATATCTGCTTGTATATCTCTATATAATATTGACTCTGGAGAGTGCTGCTATAACATTCAGGCCACCATAACACAAGCAGCATGTAAGAGCAGGTTCCCAGACAGTTCTGTAGTGTGCAGTCCCGGTGCTGATGTATAATTTTACTGTAAATTGACATTACAAAAAATGCAGTGCTTGCTGTGGTGCATCCATACTTTCAAAGCAATTCTCTTGTATCTTTCTCTTCAGGCAGCCCTGATGAACCCAAAAGTGTGTAAAGACCTACAGATGGACATCATTTATGGCAGGATTTAATAGATGTGTCCAGCAATGCTTCAGTTTCTAAAGACCTTTAGAAAGGGAGTATGAGCTGGAGTATCAGGCAGCATATTTGTAACCATTCCATGTAATAACTTTCTGTGATGTAGTTTTTAGAGGCGTTAAACTTTTCAGACGCCTGGGTTCTTTTACCACCACTGTACAATTATCTGTCTAGAAAAGCCACCACGATGGAGAATTCCCATCCACATTCAAGTCTCTATCCAAAAGGACAGTGAAATTAGTTTTTAAGGGGTTATTTTAGCTGCCCCAGCGAGGAGGGCAGTATAACATTTAAAACAGCTTTTAAACTGTCCACATAAATCGATATTTAACTGTATTTAACTTGCTCTGATAGGAATTTTATGTAAATTCACAATGCATGTGGTGGGAAAGATTATCTGGCACTGAATGGGGAAGTTGGAGGTAAGGACGGGGGTGAGCTCAGGGTTAAGAGTGTTCTTGTTTTATTCTTAGTTCATTTCATTTTCATGCAAAAGCAAATCATGCAACTTCTACAGTCTGTTGAGGACTTTACATGTCATCACAGCAACTATAGCCATTTTATATGCTATCCAGTGAGCGTACATGTGTCTTCTGAGGTTTTATATGTAATGTTGGTAATGGTAAAATAGTGGTAAATCAAAATTTTCTTTGGGTATTATTTTGCCTTACAATGCCCTGCAACTGTATGCCATGAATGGATTTTAAATATAATTTTTAGGCCAAAACTTTATCTTAAAAGCATTGTAAATCAGTGTCTCAGGCTTCCGGCAGTTGATCTGTAACCACTTCATATGATAACTCATATGATAAGTTTTTAGAGGCTTTAACAGGGAATTCCACCAATTTATGTTTCAAAGTTTCTGCATAATTAAATTGTTAGGATGTAAACCAAAGTTATTCAGAGTGGTTTGATGTGAACTATATAATTCTATAGAAACTAAGACAATTGTTCACAGTGGTGGTGACAGGAACCAATGTCTGAAGAGTTTAAAGCCTTTACATTGTTAGAAATAAAAGTATTATGAAGGAACATTTTTCGCTCATCAAGGTACAAACAAAATAAATGTACTCTCAAAGGTACAACAGTGGTGTCCAGTTGTGCATCTTAAATAAGTTGTTCCAGGTGAAAAGTACATATTTGTTCCTTTTCATAGCCTTATGTTTTACCGAGATGTACTCTTGAGGGTACCACCCCAGTGACAAGAGGGGTACTGCCCCAGTGACAGTTTGGTAAAAGCTCCCTCACAGAAAGCCATTACATGAAATTGTTATGAATACACTGCCTGACGCCTAAAATATTGTTTTACGATAGTTTTGAGATAATGTTTTAGAAAACTTTTCCTGATTTAGCACTATTTTACCATGGTCAACATGACATAGATCTCAAGACACATGTAAGTTTACTGGTTGTTTTAAGTAGCTAATAAAATGGCTATATTTATGTTGTAGATATCGCAACCCCTGGTTCCTATCACCACCATTGTAATGAAATCTAAGTTGGTAAGTTTCTCTACAATTAACCATTTCGCATCAAACCACTCTGAAAAACTTGTTATATCTCAACCATTAAATTATGTAGAAAGTTTGAAAAAGCATTGGAATTCCCCTTTAAACCGTGTGGATGTCTGGTTCCTATTACCACTGTTGTGAAAAATTGTGAAGAAGTTTCTGTAGAACAGGGCATTTCACATCAAACCACTCTGCATGACTTTTTAATTATGCAGAAAATTTGGAAAGTCTGTGGAATTCCCCTTTAAACTGGTTACCAAGATGTTACGTAGCCTATATTTTTATATATATATATATATATATATATATATATATATATATATATATATTTCAAAAGCTTTCTCTGGCAGAGCTTGGAATCTAATTGTCTACACTGTTATAAAAGTTTTGCGATAAAAGCAGAGTTCAAATGACAGTTCTCTATTTTAATGTCTTTACTTGCCCTCTAATAATTAAAAATGAAGAGTAACAGTTTTATTAATCAATAATAAAGACGAGTGACATTCATATTCTTTTGCAATTTATTGCTTATAAATGCTCTAGTCTATTTTTGGTAAAAATAAAATCTATAATAATATCACAAATGAAATTGTCACAATAACTTTACATGACATATTGAACAATTAAAAGTCTTCAAAATGATCACAATATGTACTGTACTGTAGGTAGGGAGGTTTAAGAGGTCCACGTTTTCTTTCTTCTAAAGTAAGTACAACACTCACTCCACAACTATTCACATTTTTGACCTTACCAGGTCCAACAAAAACCCATAGACAAAAGAAAAAAAGAAACAAAAACAAATAAAACTTGGCTGGTTGGCAGTAGACCTGGTGTGTAGATACAATCCAGCAAGAGAAAGAACAGACGGAGAGGACAAAATGTAATAGTGATGTCCGTGAAGCCCCCTAATACGAGCGCTACTAAGTCAAGTATTTTCAGATAAAGACTCAGAAATAAAACAAATTCTTTCCAGCACACTACAGTAAAAGAAAATAATCGAAGCCGACGTGGCCCTTCCTTCATCAGATGAGTGTATGTGTGATCAGATCTGTTTTGCTTCTACACTCAGCTCAGGGCAGAGTTCTTTGAGGAGCATCTCCAGAAGGATCTGTGGAAAGAGAGAAGTGATGTGAATACAGAGAGCATTTAAGAATGGGGATGACTTTCACTGATGTTTGTGAAAGCCTCATTAAAAGGCCCCGCATCCTCCATATTTCTTGTATTTTTTCCCTGAGGTCCAGTCATAATTCATTTTTACATGACAATTTTCCATCCTCTTATTGTCCTTTAGAATTAACCAGGCTGTTTAGATTCAGTGCAGCACAGTATGTGAAATGTTGAATACAAACGAGTGGATTTGTAGTTTGTGACGGTACTTTTAAATGTGGTGCCACTTTGTCTGCTCCAACTTATCAGATCAATATGTATCATGACATTTCATGAATCATGAAAACTTTGAGTTACTGTGATATTACATTTTTCAACATCACCCAGCTCTATTATATACTACGTCAACTTTTATTATTTCACAAAAAATTAGCAAATTTTGGCTATGAGATATATATATATATATATATATATATGCCTTTCAATCTTAATTCCTGGCTGGTGTTTTAATGGCAGCATTAATGACACTATCCCTGCACTACCACTAGATGTCACTACTAACAAAGCCAAAGAGCAGTGACAGTCTATTTACTCCAACACCACCACCACAAAAAAAAAGTCTCTTACAGGAAGGGAAAAATGCTTACAACTGCTTTGTTTCTTGGTCATAAACATGCAATGGAGTAACGGAAAATACCAGACCAAAACCACATGTACAGTGCGTCTAAATTTAGACGTCCCCATGAATACTCTATTTTCAATGAAATGAAAGAGCTCTAAACGAAAGGAGAAGCAAGAGTGGCAGCTGCAGATAAGGCAAAGCAGTGAGGTTACATTTAGGCTGGAGTGACTTACATAAAGGAGATGCTTGTTGGCACTGGCTTCCTGAAGTGCGTTGAAGATCTTAATGATTCCATACCTGGCGTTCTGCTGCCCCACCAGATTCTGTAATTCGACTAAAGAACACAAAAAATAATAGAATAAATTAAAAAATTATTTATAGAGCATTTTTTCATACAGGTAGTAGCTCATAGTGCTTTAACAAACAGTGATAAGGTTCAGTAACAGTAATAAAAGAATATAAAGTTGAATATTAAACCAAGACTAACATTGATATAATTAAAAACATGAATATAATAAGGAAGAATTTTTAATTAATAGCTAAATATGAGAGACACATTATCAAAAGTTTGTGTACTGAGCTTGACTACATAACAAAAGGTGGAATTACACAGTTCAGAAATGCAACGGCAGAAAGAATTTACAGATAGGATCTACAGAAGGCCAGTATCTACAGATCTAAGATCATGTGCTTGAACACACACAGACAGACATTGTGTAAGGTATGTAGGTGCTAGAAGAGTCTTTCCATTACGGAAACATGCAACACTCTCACTTTCACTCCTGTTTTGTTCAGCTATAATCATAAATCACATGAAAAGATGGTAATTAGGACTTGCATTTTCCATTCAACACTACCAGTGGTGATAATATGGTACCATCAAAGTAAATACACTTTTAAATTCAATATTCTGTGAAGCGTGACCCTTTCTCTGAGTTACAAAGTTCTTGCTATTGTTCACACTCATCCAGCGCCAGTGAAAATGAGGACTGGGTGCTAAGAGCTCTGAAGTGGAACACTATTACCCTCCGTGCTAAGAGCCTGAGACTGTATAATTGCTGTGTGCTTGTGTGTGCGTGTGTGTGTGTGTGTATACACACTGGATGGAACAAAAACTAAAAAGGGATGCTGATTTACACTAATATACATTGAGAGGAAACCAGTATTCAGACACTTTTGTTTTTGTTGTTTAATATACTTCCAGTGCGAATATCCACTTCACATTTAAACAGAAACAGTGTTCATTCATAAGCATTAACAGACATATTTGCTGATAGGTACAACACAAATGAATAACATTAGCATTTGAGACGTCTACAATAAAACTTTGCCACACCATGGTTCAATTTTGGCCTTTTCTTCTAGGCAAACCATTTTCAATTCCTCGAGATTCTTTCCTATCTATCTATCTATCTATCTAGAGATAGATAGATAGATAGATAGATAGATAGATAGATAGATAGATGGATGCACTGGAAGTATATTAAATATTCAAAACAAAAGTGTCGGAATACTCATTTCACTACCACAGTATTACCATAAACCATTTGTTGCATCCCTAAAACAACACCATATTATTAGCAATGATAACACACACAATCAATTACATTGGAGCAGATCAGTTTAATTAATTCATAGTTTCTAGTCACTTCTCATATACATATGGATCTTATGAGCTGCATTAGACCACAGCCTGGAAGATTAGCACATCATGGCCATTAGAAACTCACTTTAGCATCACATCATGCCAACAGTCCATTAAGTAGACTGTTTTGTATAGTCCTCTCCTCTGGGTGCCTCCAATTTCCTCTGTTCACGCAGCAGCGCAGAGAGCAAGCTGAGGCTCGCTGAAAGCTGCGAAGTGGAAACTGTTATGGTGTGCAGCTGGGAGAATCTAATGCAGAGCAGTGGGTAATTACTGCACGTCTCTGCTCAGCGGAGAGCCTCTGAGTGGAAACGTGTTTATAGTGGACCCCAGATCGCCTTTAATTAAAACCACTGCCTCACCACGCAGGTAACAGCACTTCACGTCAACAGCCTGACAATTCTGTGTCATTAGTTATGAAACAGATTGGGGGGAAAAACACAACAACACAGAAGTTGTTTATTTCATTTTAGTGCTGGAAAGGCAAAAATATTCCAAATTAAAGGAATATTCCATAATTTCTCAGCCTAATCTTTACCTGCTGCATCTGTAGCAAACAGCTGATTACCACCGAGAAGTTTTGAGAAGCTTTGTATTTAGAAAAGAACAAAAATCTATTTACATTTACAACAAAAGTCAATAGGCAGATGCTGAATTCTATCAGTAAATGCATACAAGAATTTGCATATAACACTTTCAGAAATTTCTGTATTTGATATTCAGTATTTAGGCATCAAAAATTAAAAACAATCATAATTCATTATTATCGGACCATTTTCAACATGTCGTCATTCCTTAGAATTAAACAGGATGCTTTTTGTTACCATGCCTTTAAGGCTGATACATGTAAATTACCCCTGTTCTGATTTGCTGCTCTGTATTGTGCCTTGTTCAGAAAGCAATATGGAATAAAATACTCCTTATAGCTTAAGCAAGAATGGCCGGAGCTAAACTGCTGTAGACTGAATGGGCGAATATAAGTCACTGATGTTCATGACATCACAAAAACAGTGACTTTAAAACTGACTGTTTTTTCAATATATGGACTGGATTGACTGGAGAGTGAACAGTATGCTGTGAAACTTTAGCAATGTTTACATCAAACTATGAGGAAAAGTGAGGAAAATCCATTTTCTATAATATCTGACTTTTCAGTTAATGGATCTCCTGTTCTTCTGTAGAGGGAATCGCCTCCAAATTGCTGTCTGTGGTATCACCAGTGCAATCCAGACATAACAGATAACAGAGATTATGTTAAAAATGCTTCACATGCAGGTGCGCTCTCTCACCTGGAATGTTGTCCAGCAGCTTCTGCTGGGCTCTCTCCTTGGTCTCCTGACGCTCACTGTCTGAGCGAGCTTTGTTATGGGGCGCCAGCTTCCCATTGGGCCAGAATGTGTCCCGGAATATATTAATGTAGTAAACCATCATCTGCTCACTGAAGATCCAGTTAACAGTGTCTCTGATTTGCCTACAGCAACAGGGGAGAAGAAACAGTCAGAGAACTGGCATGAAGTGTAGCAGAACTTTTTTTGAAAACATTGTGCATAATTAGGAATGGGAAGCATGAAAATTTGTAAGCATGCACTCTGGTGTGTGCTTTATAAAACTGTAGCACATTTTGTAGCATGTAGCATTATTTCCATGGTAATTCTTTCAAAAGACTGCAATCACACAGGGTTCTCAGAATTATTAAAACTGAAAACTGTAAGATTATCATTGGATTTTATGCCATGATACATCATTTAAACCAGTGCCCACCCCATCCACATGCAGAATGTTTTCAACTTGTTTTCTTACCTACTACCATTCAAAGGTTTGAAATAATAGTTCAAACATTCGGAATCAGTATTTCAATAAGGTAAATCCCATTTAGTTGAAGATAAATGTATAACAAGATTTTAATAATGTGAAAGTGCACAGGCCTAACAGGTTTCAAATAACCGGCACGAAACTATGAAAGCGAACATCTAGTCGCTTTCCAACATTTATTTTCCTTTTTGTTGATTTTTATTTATCTGCGTCATTTGAACACAGCAGCTGTCCTTTATATTACGTGTCAATTTCATGATGGGCCAATGGAAATGCTCCAAAATCACACATTAAAAGTTAAGAATGTTTTTTAGTAAAAGTTACTATTTTAGAGATAAATGTTTTACACATGTGAGATGTGCCCAGAATAATGAACAGAGCTGTAGATAATTCTGAAATGACTGAGAAAGCTGTATGACATCAATAATGAAGTTATAATAAAATTTATAATGTCCCAAACCTCACGACAGATAACTGAAGAAAACAAACCAAAAAAATCTAATTTAATTAGAAAACTGTATTGTTTTTTAAAGTATAGTAAAGTAAAACATTTAACGACTATAAAATATTTAACTTGCGCATTTTTAAGTACCGATCATTTCTTTTGGTCAATTCTGATTTCTTTACAGCCATTTGATTTTTTTGCCATTTCTTTTTAAATTTTTGCAATTTTTTTAATACTTTACATGTGCCATTCTGCACTATAATGAGGCAAGAGCCAACAATATATAAATAAAACAACAAAACAGTGCTAGTGCATTCAACTGACACAGACTAAAACAAAAACAATAAATTGGACGACTGCTGATTGCATGTTTGGAGCAAAATTCTGATCTTAGTCAATTCTAATCGAGCATCCCTGTTATTAAGGTTTGATATGGTAAGAGGTTACATTTAAAGCATGTCACAGTGGTAGTGGGGAATGATTCAGAGCAGTTCTGGTCAGAGCAAAACAAACAGTTCCATGAAGACTGGAGACATTTCTCTCCAGAAGTGTTAGAGCCCACTGTGCTGAATGGAACCGTGACATGACGGAATACTGACCTGCTATCACAAGACTGACAACCGAGAGTATAACAGTATAACAGTATAAACACCCCGCTGAATTCTGGGCCTTGTTACAACCCAAAGCTTTTAGATCAGCTGTAGATTCTCTGCATATGCACTCAGCAGAGACACTCTGCCCAGCTTAACCCACAGCAGAGTGCATCCGACTTATTATGAATGACCACAACATTTATACTGTCAGTGCTAGCAATACTTTGCTGCTCTGCTTGGCATGGCTCTTAAAATGTCAGAGCAACCTGCGGCAGGCAATTAAAACCTTTTCTTTCACTTGACTGTCTTTGATCAGCTGTCAGAGGCTGGCAGATATTGGATGGAGGACAGGCATTTGTGCTTACTTATTTATGGTCCGTCCAAAAGTGACTTGAACTAGTGCAATTAGTGTCTTCCGTACCCATTTGAACACTGCAGAGAGAAGAAAAAAAGCATTGTTATTTTCCATACCATACTTCAGACTATCAGAATCCACATAAAACTATGTTTTTAATCACTGTGCAAACAGGGACACATGCAGAGCGTGTATATAGATATATAAGAGTTCTTGCAAGTAGGCCGGAGATTACAGCGCAGCACCATGATGGAGCTGGCATTAGCTAACTTTCTCTTTAGTTTCTGTTGTTTCTTTCTGCCACTGTGTGCGAGAGAGACTCAGGGGAGCAGTAACACAGTAATGACAGCTGCTCTCCAGAGACTCTGTTACTTCCCTAAAAAACAGTACACATTGTTAAAATGAGCACAGACTGAACTTCACAGAGAAAAAGTCTACCAAGTGAAAGTATGTTATATTTACTCATTTACTCTAGACTGTGTGTCTACTCAGACGTCAGCCTGTATGATGCCAATACAACTTCAGTGAGTGCAAACCAAATTAGCCAGCACAGATCAATGAAAGATGACCTATTACTGAAGGATGAGCAGAGGGAGCTGAGACAGAAGGTCATCACGCACACCAAACGGTCAGCATTATCATCTTTATTTCAACTATTTTCACAGTATAACAATCAAAGTTTTGGATATTCTATAAAATATTCTATAACAATAAAAAAAGACATTTCATTTTAATAATGGTACAGAAAAAACATGTTCATTCTTATTTTTACTTTAAAACAATTTAATAAAAAAAACTGTCAGTTTTGACTGCAGCCCCCTCTTTTAAATACAGCTTTAAAACAGCTAAAACACGGGGGAGCTGGAGCCTATCCCAGCGGTCAACGGGCAGAGGGCAGGAAACACCCTGGACAGGTCACCAGTCCATTGCAGGGCGATATCAGTTCAGCATATTAGTAAAAATCTAATCTAATCTAGTAAAAAGGTACATCTATATTCCACCAGGTAAACAGTCCCTCCAGGCACATTCTTTATTATGTGTATATCTATAAGTAACGCTGAAACATACCAAAATAATCACATGAAATTAAATCACATCTGAGTGCAATTTGAGATTTTATGATGCACTGAATAGTAAATCCTTGTCAGGTCAAAGATTTTCACCCATGATGATCACCCCAGGGCAATGCAATGAAACAAACAACAGCAAATGCATCCACACACACACACACACACACACACACACACACACACACACTTACATACACCAGGAGCTCAAACAGTAGGTCGCTGCATTAAGCAAATACATAAAACATCACTTACTGCCCCTGAGTTCAAAGACCTCTCCTATGAGCATGAAGAAGGGCTCAGCGAGGTCATCTTTCTTTCCATCTGGCTCATCACCATAGTCCGAGAGATCACTGTCATCTTCAGCCTCATCCTGAGAAAGAAACAAAGAAACAGAGACAGCGAGGAAGAGTGAGAGAGAGAGATTGTATATCATAAAAGCTGATGGGTGTGCAGACACACCTCTGATATCAGGACTTGTCTCTGTGGCTTCAACTGTCTTAGAAAGTAGGCCAGTAGCTATTAGAACTATACGTATTTTTTCAGTTCCTACAAAAACTCTTCAGAATGTGTCGTGTGTGTGTGTGTGTGTGTGTGTGTGTGTGTATGTCTGTACAAACCTCCTGATGGGAGAAGAAGTCACGAGGCAGTCTCCCCAGAAAAGAGGCAAAGGAGAAGGAGGATTTTTTCTGGATATCTATGACCTTAAGGTGCTCTGGTGAAGGGCTGAGGAAAGCATATAATGCCTCACTTTGGCACATAAGCTCATCCATCAGCATTTTCTGTAAGAGACACAAACAGGCATAAACAAGCAATTCAAGACACTGAAGACAACTGTAAAAAGCCATTAAAAAGCTATCATCAGGATTAAAACATTTACATTTAATGGAGTCTATAACTATCTGCCTAAGACAGACAGTAAGACAGATAGCACAGACACAGACACTGTGTTACAGACTGTAACTCGTGTGGACATTAGAGATGTCCCAGTCTAATGTGACATTAGTTCTTAAGAATATTTTACCTCATCACAATATTTTGGGTAAAAAAAACAAAAAAAAAAACAAAAAAAAACGTTTTCACACATAGAATCCAAAGTATCAACCTGTTATTATTTAATTAGTATTTCTGGGAATTAGTGCACTAATAGGATACCAAAATCAATAGTTTTCTTAGTCCTCAACATGAGTGAGACCAAAGCTCGAGTGCTCTACTGCTGTTATGAGAATTGTGAACAAGCGCATCAAAAGAACGTGAATGGAAAGGCAAGAAATTCAAAAGTCTAAATATAGCAAAAAAAGTTTTTGCAAGCCCTGCACTACGCAAACCACTACCTACTTGTATGAGCCACGCTCATCGTATTGTATGGCACAAGCATGTCATCCCCTCTTTAGGAACTTGTGCAAAACAGTAGTTGATGAAAACACTGTTTAATTTGCATTTTCTTTACTTAAAATTTGCAAATTGTTTGAATGGAAATTATGTTTGTCAGTGAGTGGCAGGACCTTGACAGGAGAGACCGGACAGCACAGTAGATAACATTACCCCCCCTGCCCATGGGAGAGCAACACTCTTAACATCACATTCACTTAAAATTTTAAGCTGCTTAGCATCCGCAAAATATGCAGGACTGTAGGAAGAAGCTCTTTAAGTGTTCTTTAGTCTACTTGTAACATCTCAGGCAAGAGAAATGAGTATAAAACTAGCATACTGCAATACTTAGCACATCATAAATCTTCAAATACCTAAAAAAAACTTTAAATATAGAGATTCCTTACTTTACTATTTACAAAAGTGATAATAGAGGTGATAAACAGCAATTATCCACAACTTCCTGCCATGAGACACACTTTCAGAAGTGCAGAGCCCAACAGCAACTTTTAATATCTGCAATGCCAGTGTTCTGACTGTGGCTAAGCTAGCTGCTCTTCATCAAAGCATAGTTAAATTAACTGCAAGTGAAACGTGTCTTGAATCTGCTACCGCTGTATTTCAAGCTTGCATCCTCATCTGTCTCTCCCCAGCTGTGTGCCTCCACCCCCTGTCTAATCTCTTCTGGTGAGTTAAGAGAACACATTTTCAATCAGACTAACTTTCAACAGCCCTTCAACCAGCATACACAAACAAGCTACCCGGGGAGATGAAAATGCTCTGGCTCTAATTTAAAAAATGAAAATGTTCCGTGGACTCAGCACTCATCAAAAAGCCACAGTGGGTGCAGAATTGTAGAAAATGAAGTGTGTAATGCAAGTCAAGCTGGCAGTTCTGAGACTCACCTGTAAAAATGTATTTAGTTGGTTTTTGGATTTCTCAAGGAATTTTTGGTCAATGGATTTGAATGGCAGTTTACTGAGAGAGGGAAGTTGGACCTTCTTCAGAGAGGGAAAACACTAAAAAAGGCGAAAGAGAGAGAGAGAGAGATAGAGAGGGATTGATGGCCTGTAGTGTTACAGTCCTGTCATGCATAATTTGTATCACATCTCATAACATGCAACAGTGTGATGACTCATCTCATTGCCATAGCAACACAATTGGGGCACAGCTAAAGAGTGACTGCTGAATCTCAGAGGTATTTCAGATGTCAGCATTGCAGCACATATTAAATACTCTCTGACGAAAAGTAGGGGAATGTTACGTCATAAACGTGACCAGGTGAAGAGACCAGTACCTCTGTCAGTTTTCTGTGCAGCGCCTGGAACTCGCTCAGCTTTCTGGTGACCGTCCAGCAGCTGTTCTTAGAGTCGTCTCCTTCTAAGAGACTCACTGCTACGGAGTAACATGGCATCTGTTCACCGTTCTCTTCACAGGCCTGACACATGCAAAAACAGAGATGTACATACATTTAGATATGGGCCAATGAACATAAAAAAATAAACAAATAAAAGTGACCGATACTGATTTTACAGGATTAAAACTTCCAATAACTGATAATGTTAGGAATTCCATTTTTTCTATTTCTATTTAGATTTTAATTTTATACTCCAATAGTTAACAGAGTTAAAAATGCTTTACTGCTTTAGTGATATGATTGTCAGTTGTGAATGGTAAAATGCAATCTTCTTTTCTCAGCTGTCCCATTCTTAAACTGAAAAACATCAGAACTCAACAAAATATATTCTAAAATAAAATATAATAAATATAATACAATAAACCCTATATAAATAAAAAATAAATAAAAAATAATTATAATATTTATAATAAAATAAATATAAATACTGTAGTATTCAAGAATTCATTGAGGTTTTGGTTTCCGTTGTTTAAATCTTACTTCTCGTCAGCTTCTTCCCAGAGTAAGTTTTTTGTGTGTGTGTGTTATAAGTTATCCTCATGTTCAAGGTTGGGTTCAGATACACCTTACACATTGTTGTTATTTTAACCATGATGGTGTTTTATAATGATAGGAATTGTGAAAGTATTGTATTTTTTACATTTTGCATCTCCTCTGAACCATCAGGTCATTATGTACATGTATTTTAGCAAGCTAACAAACTGTTTCCGAGCACATCCATCATCAACTTTGTACATCGACAAAGTCATCAGGTTACTTGTCAATCATCTCTAATATCTGATTACATCACCCTAACCTAGCTCTGTATCAATTTGAGGTTCGTTCCTAAAACCTTTACATTATGAGGAGGTTCTTTAACAAAGTTCTTCACACTCACATTTATAAAGAAGGTTCTCCATATGATACATCCTTTGAAATATTCTTCAGAGAACTAAAAGTGCTTCTTTTCTGGCATTGCAAGAAGCCATGTTTTTGGCTTGTAGTTTTCAAGGGTCAACACTATGGGCGAGCCGATACATCATTAAGGCCCTGATCAAGATGTCTTAAACAGGCTTCCTTGTAAGTTAATATGACAAACATGAAGACAAATTTAACTGGTCTGCTTTAAGGTCACTTCAAAGCTATCAGCAGTAACTGAAAGCATATCTTTAGACAGGTAGTAAATGCTTCAGAGATGACTCAACATCAATTACAATTCATTTGTGAAAGGTCACACTAGCTGACATGACTATGCACCAGAGAAAGACACACAAGAGGGTATAATCAGACACTGCTGTTGCGCTGTTGATGTTTTATTCAGCAGACAACCAATAACGAAATGTCTGACCGCAAATTAAGTCAGAGAAAATATTGGCAACACAGAGAAAGGCCGGTATTCAGAACTCCAGCCAAAAAGTGGAAGCAAACAAAAATTCAATAACAACTGATAGGCATTTCAGTTACTCATGCATTCAGTATTGCGTGCTACTTTCAAAGTTCAAAGTCTAGTATAATTACAAGGACACTTTAGGGAATAAAGAATGAAGATTATTTATAGCACACAAAACATAAAAAGTGAGACGCACATGAGGACATGAACATTAATGATTTATTGATTTCAGTGTTATCCTGTCTAAATATGACATGATAAATATGAAAACTTAATGAGTCATTCTAAAATGTGTGACGCCTGAAAACAAGCACTTAAAAAAAGCTACTTTTCTTTACATGGATGCTAATGAAAACGTTACACCTTCATTTGTCGTTTGTAACCCTTCAAGACCTACTCTGACACACTTCCACCTTTGCATTTTCATACTTTTGCATTTTGCACTTTCATTTTGTTTTTTGGACAGAACCATGATGAGTTACATAAGTAGTACAAAAAACAAGCTTAATTTCTTTTTGCAGTTATATAAAAGAAATGTTAAACCATGATATCGAAAAAAAAAATTAACACAAAAACCTCCACAAAACCCTTTGACGTAAAATACAAGTATTTGGGGTTTTTACTTCTTTTTGTCTTCAAGTTATGCCCTTTGTTCTCGGCAGCGTCCCTTTGTGTTTTTACGGAACACTTATATGTGAAATTTCTTTTGGCAGTTTCTGTCCACAGTTAACAAGAGAGCACCGTACAGAAGACAGAAGTCAGTTTTTGTATTTTTTTCTTACACAATCTGTATCATCCGTATCATGATGCCAAATTCACTCACGTCTTTTGAACAACATGATTCGGGATCTGAAAAGTTCCATACTAGAACAGTTCTACAGCCTTGTTTTTAGAAAAAATTCTCTTAGGCACATTTTTCTGTTTTTATTCTCGGGTTGCGTTTCTTGCTTTTCTCTTTTCTGTCTTTCAAAGTTACTCAAAAACACTCCCACTGCAACTTTCTCTGAATCAGAAACACTGATTGGCTGTAGCAACTTAACCAAAGCCAATCTGCACATCTGTTTTCCGACGCTGCACATGTACCTGTACACCTCGACTTTCAAATCTCCAAATCCAACTGTCTGTGACTCGCTAACCAAAGCCAGTGCAGAAATGCAGACTGTATACTACACATGACATGACATGAACAAACGGTGAACATAAAATGATCTGTAAACGAAACAACAGAACAAGTATGGAAAAGGTATGCATGTTTTATATAAATTTACACTGTAGATTTACTTAGGAATTAAACAACCCACAACTACAAACCTGGGTTTGTATTTTATCACTGTTTCTCTCGTTTCAAGTGGGGAAAACATTTAAAGAGAAGGGGGCATGTGTGTATATTTGATTTTTTTGCCAAAGCATTCCTTTAATGCAAAATCATGAAGAAACTGCGCTTGAATTACAGCACAGTTACTGAGGAAACAAATATGACACTATTTTGCACTATTTTGTTCAATTTAAAATACTCCTCTGTATATGGTAAAAGACTATGACTGAGCTTAGAGAGTGCAGTGCTGTGACTGCAGCCATGGGATATGAAAGCTGTTACTGACGCCACAATGCTGTGAGGCCATGATAGGCTGTTGTTAGGGAAACACTCAGCTGGTGGCAGACTGACCTCGGCAGTGTTGATGACAGCCCTCCAGGTGCCCAGGTTCTCACACCACCAGTCTGTGCGTGAGATATGCAGCTGCAGGTCGCTGTGTTCCTTCTCCATCACCCTGATTTCCTCCTTCAGCATTGTCACAATCTGCATGCAAGCAAAGATCAAATACATATCCTGCTAGATACCATATAATGCACTTGTAACTGTGAAAAATTGGCTTATAAAAGACATTTAAATGTTGCTTTTCTTTGTTGGCTTTAGTGCTGCCACTACCTATTATGTAATTATATTACTAACAGAGTAATCTACCATTTATATTGGTGAATAATGAAGTAAAAAGTATTGTTTTTAAACAATAAAACAACTAAAAGTAAATTAACTGATCAATAACAAACCATGCACAGCCTTTCAGAGATTCCAATACTTTAATGGAAACAATAAACTGGGAAGCCTTAAAATGTATAAAAATGTATAAACAATGTGGGTGAAAATGCATGTAAATTGGTGTGTCTATCAGGCTCTGTTTCTTTCGGTAAGAGAGACCAGCAGGAGAATTTAAAAAGCATCATCAACACGCAAACCACTAACAAATCACAGCTGTTTCACTGAGACGATAAATTATAATCGATTCATTTTTTGTAGCTGATTACTTTTGACAGTCCTAGCTGGCTTATAAATAAAAACAAATTCTGTTCTGAAGTAAATCATTATCTGCAGAACAAAGCACATTTGCATTTACACATATTCTCAGTAATGTTTGGCTTCAGTACTTTACTAATAGAAGTGTGTCTCTGCCTTTTTTAGGAGTGTCTGTAACTTCCAGCCAGCAGTGAGCAGGTTTACCATGAGTGGCTCCTTGAAGGAGAGCACTAATAGTGACCTTGGGTCTGACAGGTAAGTCGTGACCATGAGAAAGCAATTAATAAATCATGCCACAGTGAAGTCAGTCCTTTTGCTATTGAGGGCCTGAGGAAAGCATTTATAAATGTACAAAAAAATGAATACATGTTTTGTATACTTTCGTATATAATACTTTTTTAGACTGTCCTTTTTATTGAGAAGAAATGTAACCAAAATTGAACACAGTAACAAGGTTAGCAGAGTAAATAACCAGTGATTTTTATAACAATGGCTTCTACTCTACTGGACTGCAAAAAAAGAACAGTTCAATTTTTTGATTAATCACGTGAATTAATCAACTATCAATCGGCTTCAGTGTGGCCTGTAAATGTGAAGAGCTGTAACAATGAAATGTTAGCAACGTTCTGACAAACTGAGGTACACAAAGAGCTTGATTACCAGCACCAAAAAATAAATGCCACTTTGTTTGAGTCTGCCCATAATTCCAGCTACAGTAAGTAATAAGAAATAGTTAAGTAATATAACAAAAAATATGCAGATGTTCATTATAGCTCTGTAGGTTGCAGCATAATTTAACTACAGTTTAACAATTTAATGTGCCAGTTCACTAGATGAGCTACTGTGAATAGGTTTCCAGGATGATGTAAAATCATTTTAAAAATCAGCTGTTTTTTTTTTAAAGCTCAACATTTTTTTGAAGCTAATTAATCAGTTGTACATAGTTTGTTAGCTAATGTATGTAACAGGGCGAGCTGCCAAGCGTTCAACAGCTTTTTGTAGCAGCCTCCTAAATACTTCTAATCAACAAAAATGGATCCAGCTTAGAATATTCCAGTGACTGATGTTAGTAACGCATTGCATGATGAAATTTAGTGTTTTTTGTAAAAGGAAACTGTAGCTCATTCTAAAAATCGCTTACAATGCAAACTGCGCGTCCACAGGGAGGAGTTCAGTTTGCCAGAACGCTAACATGGAGGAAAAGCTGCCATTTACTACAAGGCTGAAGTTGGCTTCATATCTGCCAGCTTCTTATTTGAATTTGCTGTTCCATCTTAAATGGTGCAGCAGTTACACTGTGGTGCCTGTAACACGCTAAGAAACTTCAGCTTCATCCATTTACTGACCATTCTGCTGCTTCAGAATCAACACTAGCATGTTTTCCAGTGGTCAAAGGTAACGTGCTTCCACAGAAAGCTATAAGTCAGACTTGTAGACATATGTTGAATGTGACCACTTTATCATCATTCATTTTAGGAAAATGCTCCCAGATGCTCTGTTTACATAGGTAAGACACTAAGTGAATTGCTGGCTTCATCATGTAAAGTTGTTCATTCGCTCTAGGTTGGACATAACTTTGAAAACATTAAAAAAAATGGACAACTGAAATATCTGTCGACAATTTTTTTATTTGTCAATATCATCAATAATGCTCAATAACTGTTCCAGCTCTACTGGAGTTTTCACTGTTTTAGGCAGTATAATTTTATATAGTTTTATGGTTCTACACTGCATAAAAACAACAGGGGAAAATCCACAAAGAAGCACACATTACCTTTTTGTCAGTTCTGGGTGCACCCTGTATGATGCCGAGTGCTTGGCGTTTATACTCCAGTCGTTCACATAGCTGGCTGAGTTTGTTTGCAGCGTAGCTGGCCTGCTCATTAATGCCTTTACTGCCCTCGTCCACAGCCACCTCAACCCCCTCCATGGCCTGACACTGTAGATACAGACAAATAAACCAATGAAGAATCCAGAATCAGCTTTGAGAGGCATGAACACCGTCAGCTCTGAACCTGAGAAACATGCTTAACTCAATCAAAAAAATATAATATGGATTAAAAACAATGTGACTAAAACCTAGTAAGTTTTCCAAAAGCATTGCACCAAAAAGGTTTTGTGACAGAGTTTCTCTTTCAATGCTCTAACAAGTGTGATAATCTTAAAAAACCACTACACTTTCACAAACATGGGAATTTCCCATCTCTAGCGCTTGTGATGTCATGCTACTTTGAGAACTCTCTTTGTATGCAGCCTGCTGAACTAGGTGTTGCATGATGTTTCGAAAGTTTAAGCAATGTGTTACCAATTGATGTAGAGTGTAAACACTGTAGTAGTAGTCTTAAAGGGTACTGTTCACTCTGTAGCTCATAGTCCATACACTCTAGCCCTGCTATTCAAGTAGAAGTTATTATGATTGTTTCTGCCAGGATTACATAGATCAGTCTTAAAGGCACAATAACAAAAACAGCCTGTTTATTTCTAAGGGATAGGGAGAAGGCATTGAATTACAGCTGTTCCTTTAATTTATGACACTTCTTATTCTTTATTTAAACAAGCTAACACTATGATTACAAATTCTGTCTATAGGCAAATTAAACTGCACTTGCTAATTTGACTTGAACGTGTAAAGATATACCCATTAGCATATCATCTCACTCTTGAGTAAAAACACTAAAGTGTGGAGTGCAGTGGTACTCCAGGACCAGGTACTGGGAACCACTGGTGTAGGGCACTGTGTTACTACACTTTGGTATCAAAATCTAAACCCTGGTGTTGTGGCAACTCTAACGGCAGTAGGTACTCACTCCATCTTCTTTGTCTTCACTGCTTGAGTGCGAGCTGCTTCTCTGCTCCTCCCGCTTCATGAGCCGCTCATACAGGTCGCTCACTAAGAACGATGGATAATATCGCTCCTTCATAGTTTCATAGACGTCACTCTGAATCTTGTGGAATACGTCTGTGCCCTTGTTACCAACAAGAGTTTGCTGGATCTCTTTATAGAGAGCCTTCTCTACAGGAATCTCCCGACTCTCCACAAAGTCCTGGTAGATCTCTCCTACCAGCTGTGGCACCTCGTTCTGTAGGGAAGGATAAGAAGGCTGTAGGTTATTAGTGATTACTTAGGAATTATAGTGATTGGGTTTATAGTGACAATTTTAGCTAATTTTGAGCATAACATAAAAACATGCTAACCAGTACATGACTAGCAAACACAGCTTTAAACAGCTGTACACATATAAAATCATAACATTTTTTCATTAAAACACAAAAAATTTGTGTTTTGGACGTGACTATTCTTAATTCTTAATGTGACACACTGACTTTCAGCTCTTAAGTGCAGGATGTGGCCAAAATTAGTCTACAGATGGGGCCTTAAACTCCTTTTGTTTTGCTTTTTGTATAAAAATTAAGCTCATGATAAATTTAAACCTTTTAATGCCAACAAAAATATTTCTTAAATTTTTTTTAGAATGGTCCCTAAAAGGATAGTTTTGTGAAATGTCATATTCGGTCAGGCCTCTGTCTATACTTACATAAAGCTAATGAATCAATAATAATAAAAATGACGATGCATTCTGCTTAAAAAAACCTTAATGAAAATTAAGTACAACATTATTATTCATTCGTATGAGTAACAAACTTCTGCTCGGCTCCAGTCTGGTGGTGCTTTTCCACAACATTACCTTGCATTACTTGCTTGCTTAAGCACGTAGTCAACTGATTTCAAATTACCATACAAATGTGAGAAGAAACACAGATTTCAACCTTTGCCTGTGGGTACTTTTCTTCAGCACAGTTCACTAGAACAGAGATGTCAAACAGAAGCTCCCTGTTCAAGAAAAGCCTCCAGCACATTCAACAATGCTAACCAGGCCAACAACGGCCAACTTGTGCTCATCACATGTTATCATTAACGGGCATGTCAACTGCTTTGCCAAGAGCAAAGTAACACATGCAAAAGAATGATCCTGTTCTTTAGGAGGAACTGTGGAATAAATCTTTTGTGACACTGATCTGGTTTTTGGGTTTGGAAGAAGAGGCTGGCTAACTGCTCAGCCAGGTATGTAGCAAGACCCTAAAGAGGACTATATGACTGAAATTTAACAGTTTTGAACTTTAATGTAATTTGAAAAGTTCACATGCCGAAACATTCTACAAGCATTTTTCAGGCCTTGGAGATGTACAAAAAAATTTTGAGCATATTAAATTGTTGTGGCTTTATGTCAAAACCCTGAAAAGAAAAAAACAAGAAATGATACAAGCGTTTCTGAGGGCAGTGACTACATGCATTTCCACTGAATTTGTATCTCACCTTGTTAGCGGCCTTGAGTGTCTCCACCAGCTCCCAGAAACTGATGAGAGCTCTCTTATCCACTCTTTCCATATAGATGCGGAAATGCTCCCGGTATATGGCGTTGGACATAATCTCCTCAAACTGAAGAATCTGTAGAGAGAAGCAGAAAAAATCTGTAGGCCATCATGAGTGCAGCTCATAGACTGTGTGATCCCTGTATTGTCATAGACAAGACTAGAGTTGAAAAAAATGGACCAAACACCGTATCAAGATAATATTGTTACATAATATATTGTAAGCACACTGGTGAATACATGATGAACAACGGCTAAAAACTAAGCTAAGCATGGTTGGTTTACATGAATGCCCCGATTTGAATTGTTCAAGAGACTAACAGCACATCACTTAAAATTTGCTAGAGGCTCATTTGCATATTGCAGACTGCATCAGTATCAGAATATAGCTAATACAACGACAATAATTAACAAACCGTGTTGGGGTAGCTACTCAAAAAAAAATGACTAATCATTTCTCTCAAACTGTATTGGGATTACTTTATTGATTACTCCCTGGAAAAAGTAAATCTCACTACACTTCACTTCGACATTATCGTCTAAAACCCGACCAACTGCAAGTAGAATAGAAAAACAAGTACAAAGAAAAACTCAATAACGAAAGAAATAACCAATCAGAGTAAACATCGTTTCCCACAGATCTGAAATATAGGCTAAAAACTAAACAACAAAATTCATAGTAATAACTTTTTTGTTAAATGTTTTTTGTTAAATAAATTGTTTTCATTAAAACTATGATTGCACACAGCTATTACAAATCCACACAGTTCTTCATTTATTAGACTATGTATGTCAGTTATGTATGTCACATACAAATAATTATAACTCCTTTTTATTCACAGGCCTAATTTATGTCTTTGTGTTAGCACAAGTGATGTATTTTTTTGTACTTTGTTGTACTATTTTAGTACTGCAAAAGATGAAAATTTAGACATGTTACTGAGCCTTTTTGCTCTATTAGCCTGCCGTCTGTTTTTTTACACTCTGCCTAACAGTGAACTGAAGTGTTTTAAGACTGGGTTTAAAAGGGTTAAAATGAAGACACGAGCTAGACTCGTCTTTTTCTCAAATATCTACCACTGAAATGACCAAAATGCACTTTAAACAGCCATTTTTACTGACTGTATTTCAGGAAGGTTTAAGCTAGCATAATGACCACAAAGTGGTTCTCTGACACCACGAATTAGCACACATCAGGGTTTCGGAGCTACGAGTCTCTTCTCCTTCTTCTTCTGCAGCTTCTTGTTAAAATATTTCCCAATACTCATCTGTTATGTAAATATTATGTGAATGATTAGCGTAACTGCAACTAGACATTCTCTCAAATGAAGAGAAAGCAAATTCTATCCAGGACAACTTTGCTAATTACATGTCGTAGCTAGCTAGCAGCAAGTGCTGATGTTGCTGCTCACTCTCCGACTGTCTCCTTCACTCTCTCGCTCTACCCCAAGCTGTGTTCATGCATTTTTTGAAACAAAAATGCTAAACATTTTTCACAAAAATGAGACGAAACATCTACCTGGGTGCATTACCAAAATATTACCTTGAAGAAGAAAACACGATCTTTTGAAAACATAGACACTAACCAGTAGAAACAAGATTAAAAAAAAGATGCGTCTAAATAAAATTTTTATGACTAAAATGTAAAGCTTACAAAGCTGTTTCTGAATGAAAAGTTGGGACATTTCTGTTTAGGTGAGGTTGGGGTTCTCACGTCTTCAGCACTGGAATCTTTATCCATCAGTTTTATATTAGCATGATAAGATGATTTGACAGATCGCTCACAGAGCTTATGGCTAGGAAAGTTTTTCCCCTCACACTTGTGCTCACATCCACAATCAAAGTCATGCAGTCAGCTGTCACAGGCAGCACACTCATACATGCAAATTACATACACAGACAGGCAGGGATAACCTGCATAGAGGAAATGTGTATTTTAAGTGCATTACACATAATTAATATTGAGTAATGCAAATATCAATGACAAAAATGTAAAAAACTGTAAAGAATTACACGACTTTGTTACCAGTAACAGTAATTACATTACTGTAACACAATAATTTGTACCACCCTACACCAACATTGTTAACAAATTATATATCAAGCAGCCTTACTGAAGAGTGATAAAATTAAGTAACACCTGTTGCAGACGTTGTTGACGATGGTCTGGAAATTGGTTGGAGGGTTAAGATTGGTTTGGTCAGAGGCAGTCTGATCACTGCCTTGTGCAATTAGCCTTTTTCACTAGCGCATTAAGCCTGAAACAGTCTGTATTAGACTTTAAAGTGCTATTACTTCTGCACTGAAGGGGTGCTGTATGATTGGATTCCACAGATCGCAAACTTAATTATGAATATGGCTGTCACTCAAAACTGAACGATCTACCATTGTCTGGTGTACTGGCCAATGAGTTCAACGCAACCCAGAGGCAGCAGCGTTTGACACACAGACTAAACACAAATGCGCCTTTGAAATCTGTCAGGAAGTCAGTGGGCCAAGCCTGGCTGAGCATGAGACTACTGAGCATCTAAGAATAACGATGAACCCACCAGAGCGGAATGAACTGTCAGTTTCTCCCCAAACCCAATCTGAATGCACAGCTCATGGCTAGATCCATTAAACGTGGTCCACAGAGACCGGCGGAGACAGCCCTGTCTGTGCACTGCATTATGACAGCCCCGTGCGGCCCTGACAAGAACAGCATGTAATACAATTAGGAGGAGGGCTTGGAGGTCTTCTCCCATGTTGTAGCAGTTATCTCCTTTGAGAAAAGAGGAGAGAACAGAGGAGCAAAGGAAGGGGGTGGAGAGACACTTGCGTAGGATCTTTGGGCATGGTGATAACAGAGACATAACAGCACTGCCCATGGTTTGTGTGTAACTGGTTGAATCTATTTTTAGAAAACATGATTCAGAGCAGCAAGCCTCAGCAGAGGCATCTCCTTATTGACTCCATATTAGCAAGCTCTGCTGTGAGTGACCTCATCCAGATTGGAGAAGTAGAGCTTTATGATATGGACAGAATAATATTATTACTTTTATAATTGCTAAATACTGCGATTGTGCTATGCCTTGCTAATATTGGCCAATATATCACTTCAGGAAGCATACTGGCTGAAATTCTTAAGGTATTAGTTTTGTAGGTTTACCTTTATAGCAGTATGTAGGGGTGGATAATATGACAATATTTTATTATTACTGTGATCATTTTTGTTATTGTGATACAAAAAAATGCTTTTCTGAGCTTACTGTGGATATTGTCAGCACTTAGAGCACACTGACCTACTGCATGTTTCATTACAAAGAGAGAAAAAATAGCAAGTTCAATTGGATTTAGTGCAGTATGTGAAATGTTGAATAATAATCATTGTGTTCATAGTTTTTGACAGCAGTAAAATGTGACACAACTAGCACATTTTGTCTCCGTGTCAAAATATTGTGATAAATATTGTATTGTGAAAGTATCATGACAAACTATTTTTTCCCACATTGCCTACCTGTACAAGTATGCTATCATAACTAAGCTCAGATAATGGAACACACAAACAATGCAAAATATGCTAAGGTTATCCCTTTTAGCTGAATGACCAAGTCAGAGATGTTTCAGTTGCATTTCAGTAAAAACAAACGTAGCCATCCTTCACTCCTCGCTAAGAAGCCAGTTGCAGTCTGAAGCAACATAATTTACTTCAGCTGTTAAATATGATCCTTATTAAAAATGAAGGGACATTCCAGAACAATAAGCCACTGTTAATCAATAAAAAATTGTCCATGCTGCCAACGACTATGCCTTGCATATATTAAAAAGCATTGGTGAATCAATAATGTGACATAGTGGTAGATTGGCCTTCATTATTTTGACCAAAATAAACTTCTTTTTTTGATTACATGAATACTTTGGATCATCAAAACATCCACAGAAACACGCATCTGAAACTGTGTTTGGTCAAGATGCTCACAGCACATATTAAAACACTGATTGGTTAGAGAGCTTATTTGCATACTGTAGCCTTCTGGTGTATCAGTAATGCAAAGGGCAATATCGTGATACAGTTAACAAATAAAACACTTTGCAGCCCTAATGAGAGTGGAAAAAATATATCCTGCTTGAAATAGGATGTGGCAGTTTGGCAGTGAAAAATGATCAGCACAGTCAATCAATCAAAAAGGCAAACTGTAGAAAGTGCAGTTATCTCCCTTATTTGTGAAGTTCAGAGCCTGTGATGTTCATAACGTTTCACAAACATTCCATGTTTACAGTGTTCATGTATAAGAGCATTTCATTATGCCTGAATTTGCCTCATCAATCAGAACATCTTTTTCAGGATCTCCTCACCTTCTGGCCCTGAGGGCCAAATCCCTCATCCTGGTTGCCATCATCCTGCTGCTCGTAGTTGGGGCCCTCCAACAGCCGGATCTTCTTCTCACACTGCTTCTTAGCCACTGTGAGCTGGTTAATGTAGCGCTTGATATCCCTAGTTCCTAGCAAGTCTGCCTTCATAGCAGCTACTTCCTTCCCTTTACTGTCTATAGAAGGATGGAGAGGGAGAAACAAGACAGTAGGGAGGGGGGAAAAAAAAGAAACAATGACAACAGTAAGACAAGAAAAGCAGGAGAAGACAAGAATTCTGATGGGCTCTGCTGGAGGAAGCTGAAAGAGAAACCATGATTTCAGGCCATAAAACAGGGAGTAGGAGGACAGGCTCCACACTGACTTGCATTTAGCTTACATTTGTCTCACTTTCAAAGTGTGATTTGCAAAGCAGTGAGCTTCCTTATGACACAAGCGAGGGCCACATAACACTGAAACCATCTTCTCTCAGCAATGATAAAATATCAGAACCATAAATCCTTAAAAACATCCATTTAAGTCAATTTTAGAGATGATATGTTCATTAAATCCTTAATGAAAGACTTCAAAGGAGACTATCAGTTTTAGGGCATTCATAGCAGCACTACAACAGCATTTGCTTTGGCTTCTCCTAAAAGCAGTAAAGCATAGATACAAACACCAAAAGCTAAAGGAGCAGAAAAATGAGCAGTCACTGAGGACAGACGTCATCTCAGCACGCTCTGTCTGAGAGAGACAAAGCGAGAGCAGGAAAAAAAGAACAAAAAGAAAAAAGTCAGCGGGGGTGAGAATGAAAGTGAGAGGGCGAAGAGAACAAGAAAGAGTGAGGGAGAGAGACAGACAGGAGAAAGGGAAGAGTTTTCACAGTGTCTGTTGCTTTAATAGAATGTGACACAGTGACAGCTCTGTGAGGATTTATTGACTGCTTTATTATTGGGTGGCTGGAGCTGCCAGGTATGAGGGGAAAAACAGGGGAAAAAACTGCCCCATCAACCAGCTTGCCAGAACATCCAGAGAACACCCAGTATATACACTTTTAAAAAAGATGGTTCTCAAAGGTTTTTTAGCAAAGGAAACAGTTCAGAACTATCGTGCTTAAATGGTTCTTTGCATGGTGAAATCGTTCTTTAGACTGAGGGAGAATGTGTTGTACATGGTTATATATAAAGCCTTCTTGAAAATAGTTCTATATAACATCTATTGTTAGGATGCCAAGCTTGTAACAACAGAAGAACCCTTTTGGTGCTATATAGAACCATTTTTGAAAAGGTTCTATACAGGTTCTATATAGAACTCATGGTTCTAAACAAAACCACTGTTTTCATTAAAGAATATAATTATATATTGTTTAAACACATTTCAAGTTCATTTCACTAAATGTTTTTATTCCTAAACTAATGCCTCTGCTTTCTTAAAAGACCTCACATTTATTCAGAGACATAATGACTTGCTCAAAATAATTCCGCTGAGTAATTTCCTCTTCTTGGCAAATATTCATGTGTATGTCTGGTCTAAGTATGTCTAAAAGTCCGTAGAAACCTGGTAATCCAATGTTTCTTCTGAAATCAAAGGCATCAATATGGAGTTTTAACTTATTTTCACTTAAAACAACATGCAATTTCACCAGAGGCAGCAAAACATTTGCATACGACTGTATATTCTGCTAAACCTTTCTGCAGTGACTTCATATTCCATTAAATCCAAAATAGCCATTTCCTCTGAGAACAAAAGAGGGGGACGAAGAGCAATATCAAAACGCAACACAATTAAAACTGTCAGTGAGTGACATTTAGTTGTAGAGCAGTTGCTATGTTTTATGGACTACAGAGTAACTAGAAGAGGACACATTAAATGCCATCTCTGGCTAGCACAGCCTTCTGTCTCTGATCACATTTAATGAGCCAGCAAGCCAATCTGGTTGTAATTACTGGCCTGTCACTCTCACACAGGCAAATAGCTGGACTGAATGAAGTGGAATAGCTTTGCTATAGTGACTGAAGACACACCAGCTTCTCATTTACCTGTGTTAGGGTGAGTTTCGCCAGATGAGTCAGTACACTACATAATGACAAAGCAGAACACAAATGCATGGATGAATTTCACAGAGCTTACTGAAATCATAACAGCTGAATTAGAATGCAATTTACTCCAACCTTGCTGGTTTTAGAGAATCCTTTAGAGAAGGCTTTTGAATAAATATAGATGAGAGGTGGCAGAAGCACCAGTACAGTGGTGCATATAAGCAGGTATATAGTGTATACTCACCTCTGAGGAAACTGATTTACTGTACACACCTAAACATAGGATTGTGTCTGCATATTTTGTGCTTGACTCGCCCAAAGCCATGCAGAGCAATGACTTTATATTTGTCCAACTGAGTCTTGTATAACCAGCACATGCCTTTATGTGTTGCAATGTTTTCTATAGTTACTGATAACACTAATATGATGCTAGCTAGCTATTAACTACTGTATATGGCAATAGTCTTGGTAGAGATCTGCTACCCAGCCTGACTGGGGTCGACAAAATAACAGGTTTCGGTCTGATGTTCCACGTTCAACATCGGGCTCTGGTTGGAGTTCTTTTCTAATGAGTGTTTTTGTTTTTATTTAAAAGCATATTTTGTGCACTCACACACACATTTTCTGTCTCGCTCTCTCTGCTAAAGTTGCAGTCTGCATTCTGAACAGCTCGAAGTGTACCCAAGTCACAATCACACCATGGATGATGAAAGGGATGTATACAGTTGGTGGAAAAGTCACAGTGGATCTTGCCTGTTAAGCTCATCCAAAGTGTATTACTCATTTCAGCTGCAGCTGCAGCAGTAGCGAGAGAAACTTTAGCGCAGAGGGACTAACAGCTGATCAGATGAGGGTGGATGCTGTTCTTTGCCAGGTACATTCAGTGCAAAGCTGTGCAAAATACCAGTTTATCCAAGAATAGCATTTTTTGTTGCTTAACAAAAGCAAGCAAAGCACTGTTAAACCATGTCTCCAATAAAATATCTCTATTCATGTCAGTCTCTGTGAGTGGGTTTGGTTCAGATTTGGGTTTAAATTTAGCAGTACCAGTCAGGCCTGGATGGGTCGGGTTTAAAAATCACAGCTACAGATCAGGATCAGGGTTTAATTTTATACCGTGCAGACCTGTAAGTGGGGAAATCAAAGCATGTTCTCACCAACAACCATGTTCCATTCCAAATAAGTGCTGAGATCCAGTGTATGGTTTTGTTGTGTGATCCCTCAATTCTTTTGAAGAGTTTTCAGCTTTCACACTTATAAATATAAATGAATGCACATTGCAAAGTAAAATAAAAAACATGCAAGAAGGGCAGAAGGCAGGCTTACCTTTCTGCTTCTTGAATTGTGGAATGCTGCTGAGAGTGGTCGCCCGAACGATCTCCACAACTATCTGATACCTGGAAGGTTTGGGAGAGATGCAATGTACTGTGTATATGGCATTGTAATTAACAGCACCACCTAATTAACCACAATGCAATCTTGAGTGCAGTCACAACAAATAACAAATCAAGTAGACTCCTTCCCTGCACAATCACGGCGCTGACTGGGACAGGAGAATGATTTTCTTAATTTCATACTGTCTGCAGTGCAAAATTACAACCAAAACCACCTAAACTGGTGATGGAATAGGCTATTAAGATCTCAGATAGTCTCATGTTTCATTCAGGAACATGGAGAATTCCTCCAAGGACATAATATCAATATAAATGAATGGGATAAATTGTCTTGCAGACAAAAAAAAAGCACTGAATATTCATTACAGACTACTCCCTCCAGCTCTTAAGGGGGAGGACAAGAGGGATAAAAGAGAATGAGAAAGATGTATTAAATGAAATGAGCTCATGAAAGTCAAATTGAAGCAATTTTAAACATTCAGAGACCCACTGTAGTGCAGATTGGAAGTTTGGCAAAGGAAAATGACATTCTACATAATGTCATGTAGAAATATAAACTTCTTGATCAGCATAAAGTATGCCTAGGTAAACACAAAGCTTAATGTGATAAGAGGTCTTGATTATATAAAGTTTCAAAGCTACCTTTAACTGTATAATTCAGTGCTTGCAATACCAGCTTTTTGCTCAGTAATTAGACACCATATTATTTGGCAGTGCCATGCTCAGCCTGAATGACTCTTGGAGATTTGAGGTATCTCCTCTAATATTCAGATTGCCCTTGTTTCTTTTTTTCTTGTCTTACTAAAGGGAAAGACATCAAAGCTTTGTGCTCTTCATACTGGCTCATCTTCCTCGCTGGCTCTGCTTTATTCTACGCCTTGTGTTTATGTGGGCTGCCTAGCAACAGGCTCATTAGCTGACCCCATGGAGCAATAAGACGGCTGGGAAAAGATAGTGACGTTCTGCCTGGAACTCCTATTAAATCACCACATCATGGGCGCTTTCTTTTCTTCTGCACAGTGCAAGACCCATAGTTTTCTCTTATTAAGGCACAGACTTCAGAGGCTCATTAATCAACCTGTAATAGAAGGCTGCTTTATACCACTGTCTGAAATCCTTCTTCAAAAATCCTTAGAGGCAACTCTTTACTCGTACTTGAGGCTGATTTAATTCATAACAAAAGCCTGTAATTAAAGTTGCAGTGGCTTAAAAAGAAACGAAACAAAAACGAAAAAACGTTGCCATGGAAATAAAGCCATTAGGTGAAGAGCCCTACGAAAACTGCACTAAACTTCTGTTTAGTGTTCAATTAACTCATTGCCACTGTTGATTAAAGCCCTGAGATGAGCTCTAGCAACATAGCCTGAACTGAAATCGTTGGCAGCACAAAACTGAAACTCTGCATTGACCTTCACTTCATTATCAATATTTCCAATTTCATATTTTGCTATAGGTTGGTAATAACAGAACCTTATGGTACTTAGAGATGTTCTCCCCTGCCTTTGGTAACACTTGCAGCTGTGCCAAATACACTATATCATTTCCAGTGCTGGGTTAGTTACTCAAAAAAAAAATAAATAAAAAAAATTCACTTAAAGAGAACTAATTACTCCTCAAACTGGAATGCATTTACTGCTTTCTGGAAAAAGTAATTTCACTACTCCAAAACCCACACACCCATACAAAGGAAAATCCAATAGTCTTTTCAATGCTTTATTTAGAAAGAAATCAAAGTGATCACAGTAAACACAATTTAAAAGGCCTATCAATATCCCTGCCCTCTGCTCTAAGCAAGACACAGACTGTTTTGCTGATTAAAATTATGAATACCTAAAGATTTTTGAAAGCCTTGAAACTAGTCAGTAGAAACGACCAAAAAACAACCGCCTCAATGAAAATTCTCTTCATCAGCATGGGGATTTCTATCCCTTAGCCACATATAAGCATTTCCAACAGTGTAAAAGAATAAAAATCGAGGTTGTGATAGAGAGGAGGGTCCTGCACACTCATTTTCAAGAACACCACCCATCTTTCATTGGTGCAGATCAATAACGGTGAAAACTTTCTGAGGAGTCTTCAAATGTCACTATCTTATGACTCATTGCCAGTTCACGCAGAGCTAAACTCGAGAGCTGCCCTACAGCACTTCATCACACTGAAAAAACAAATCTATATTTGGTCTTGTCTGACATAAGCTGAACTAAATCTTACTTAAAATGTATTCTGCAGTACGCATCCAAGCTATAGAGCTTCAGAGTGAGAAATAAAAGACTACCAAGAATGCTTTATTTCCAATTACCCTGAGTGGTGAGTATAAAGATGAATCACAATGAGAGATTCTCCATAAGTGAGTCATCCAACATGGCAACCTACTGAAATAACCACAACTAATCAATGGCTCCTGCAAATCATAGATAACAAACTCATTTTAAAAACAAAAGGGCAGAAACTGACAAGTGCAAGATTTACAGCCATAGGTTTGCAGTGTGGGCTGTTTGTTTGTAGTGCTTAATAAACCACTGCATCCATGATTTGGCCCTGACACAAATATCACACAGAACAAACGTGAAGTACATGCAGGTTTTTATAATCAGCAGTGACAGATAATTCTGCAAAACCAACATGTGAATGAAAAAAGGGGGGGTGATGGCACAGAGTCGAGGAAATAGCAGACAAAAGTGATGTGTCCCACCTGAGCTGTTTGAGGAAATCGATGTCAGTGCTGTTGCTGATAAGTTTGAAGAAATCTTCATAGGAGTCTGCGTAGATGTACGCTTTTTTCTGCTGCTCACGATGCTCCAGCAAAGCCAACAGCATTTGGTTGATGTAGTCGGGATCGCTTAGCACCTCCACCAATGGCTTTAGTACTGAGAAAGAGAGAGAAAGAGAAAGAGTCAGTTCCACATTCGAGTTTACCTCTTATTAGGATTGCATGATTAACTGTATTTTTTCTTGTCATTGTCATATGAGTTTCTGCAATGAACACATCAAAGTCAAAGGGCGGCATTAACAGACTAGAGTAAATTACATTACACGTGCACTGCCAAAGTGACGCAGTTAGACTAGCATGAGGAGCCGTGTCTAATATTAGAGCAGCAATATGTTCTCCTGAACCAAACTCGAATCTCTGTCTCCTGTGTGTACAGAAAAATGACTTAACCACTCTGCTATACAGCCGTTTACAAAGCACTGGACTGTGCATAACTGATATTACAGACAATCTAATTCATTTAAACAAGAAGCAATATTATGAAACTTCAACTTTATGTAACCGTTCCCTTAACACCATCATTCTAAACTGTAAAAATAAAAATATATTTAAAAAACAGCAGCAGGTGTGCCAGACAAAGCGTGTTAAATTAAGTCTAAAAGTAAGTCTCAATGATGGTAAAAGTTACAGTCATTTAATTTCTAAGAAATGCTGCCTTTAACCAGAATGTAACAGTTTCACTAGTTCAACTAGTTATTCTAACATTCAGTATTTTACCACAATAACAGTACCAACCATAAAAATAAATGTAACTGCATCTAAAATAAAGGAGATAATTTGATTTTGTACGTTTGCAGTCTACCTCTGTACATTAATAACAGCAGTGCTTATACAAAGTATGTGTATGTTTTTTTTTTTACATGCATTTAACCTTTGTTTTAAAGAAAAGGGTAATAAATTTAATAGTACTTTGATAGTGAAAATACTTTTTCCTTTAAACAGTGTATGATAATTTATTTATACAGCAGAAAAGACTGCACTTATTTATAGACTACAAACAGCAACAAATTAAATATACCAACTAACAACCAACTAATTAAATACACACATATATACTTTGAACGCTTTTAGATTTTCAGTCTGGCAAAGAATGCTGGAATAAATGCAAATGAAAACTACTCTCTGGTAGAGAGGAACATAGATCAGCTTGCCCAGAAGAAGGGTGCCAGTTTGTTGATTTTGCCAGTTGGTTGATTTGATGGACTCTCTATGGACCAGACCCTGTTTACCATACTGGACTGGAGGATGTATTCTGAGATTTGGTAGCAAACTGGTAGTATTATTACCCTTACTAATCTGTTTTCTGCACAGATGGAATGTAATACTGTGGACTTCCAGTGGTTCTCCACATTTGTTTGGTTGGAACCCAAAGTATAGATAAACTAGCTCATTACACATAAGTATAATTAGAAGCAATCCAAGATGGCAATTGTAATACCATAAGGGGAATATTCAAGCTATAGGGGCAGCTCTTTAACACTCCCAATGTACTTCGCAATTCAATTTGGATCACAAATATCATTTATGGTGATACTTCTGTAGACAATAACCACTTGCCTAAATTTACATCATCATCCAGGCTTACAAAGCGCAGACACATGCACAGCTCAAAAAAACACTATCCTTAACTAACTAACCTAAAACAATACTGAAAATCTAATGGTTATTCTCACTTGCTACACATCCAATCAGAGACACCATTTTAAATCAGCCATAATTTATCATTTCTCATACGATCACGCATTATCCAATAATTTTATAAAACCTCACATTTTATGTCTTTGTTTTGTAGCTCTATTTCTTACTATGAGACAGCAATACGAATTTAAAATATGCATAGTCATCAAGCAATCACTAATGAATCACAGAGACAATCAACAATTTATTTATTTATTTTCTTAGTTTAATCAAGTAATCATGACAGTTCTAGTTTCATGCCTACTCATATACACAATTGGGCACGCACACTGCTAGACTCACTGATCCACATACATACACGTTGTACACAAAATGCTCTGGCGCTGTCTTTAGAATGTAAGAATACCAATCTTAATCTCTTTACCATCCTTTAAATCCCCCAAACACCCTGCAACCACTCTCGTCTTCTTAAACATTATTAAGGAGAGAGCTTAATCTTCCAGGGGCATAACTCACAAGACGCTGATATGCCAAAAGCAACGTAGTAAGCATCAATGTCAACTCTTCAGCAGATGGCCCAGAGCCACTGGTCCATTACAGGGAAACAGAGCTGGATGGATGAAGCCTCACTCTGCAAATTAGTGCCAGGCTGCCAGTCTGAGAGCGCAGCTGAATGCACATCCATCCACAGCCATTGAGCTCTATATTGCACACAGTGAGAGAATACTAAGGGACAAAGATTGGTAGATTTAACCACTGGGTCCTACTTAAGCTAACAGTACGACATGATGCCTGCAGAGGTTCTACGCAGAGCGATGACTGCAGATGTTGAGTTAGCTAAGCCACAGCATGAGACATATGTCAATAATGTTGATTTAAATGGTGGAATTTATTGCATCACTCTGTCCTTTATTGACATCTAAGATGAATTTTGGGAACACTGACAGCTATCATAAAGTGAGCATGCAGGCATGAGTGGATACAAAATTCCATCCAAGGTTTCCTGTATGTACATTTGCATTAAAATTATTCTAAGCATGTACTGGAGAAACACTACATTAAGTGAAGGATTGACAATCACATTTCAACCTGCTCTCTCTGTGACTCAATCCTAAACTGCCTTTTAATAATGATTTCATAGCAAATTGCAGATAACTGGTATCCATGATTTGATTAGATGTATGATTGGAGAGGAAGTTCATAGCCAAGACAGCTACGGTAAAACCAGGGACAGATATCTGAACAGTTCACAATTTGCAGGCCGAAAGCACGTATGGCTCCGAGAAAGAGCGCAGTACTCGCTTCTATCCCTCAAATGAAATTATGGACAGATAAAATGAAACCAGTGGGGACGTCTGAGCTCAAGCCAAAAGCAAAGTTTCCAAATCTAATTAGCAGGTCTTAAAGTGCCCTATTCTTGCCGATGCCAGTCAAGGCTTTACATGGGCCCATGCCAGTGCACAGGAGAACGGTTCACTATAAAAGTGGAAGGTGTAAGCAATCCTACTCTCTGGGAGAAAAAAAGCACACAAAAAGCAAAACAGATATAAAACGCAAAAGATTTGCAGCCCTTGCTTTGGTCGGCGAGAGATGTTGCTTAGTAACAGAGATTAAATTAGGTTCTGTGAGTACATTTCTGTCACCCTGCTGTTTTCAGTGAGTCTGCAAGACAAACATATCCCCCTTCCTCTGGGCATCTGAGCCACCTCTGATCAGTAAACCCTGCCCACACTGTCTGCACACAAAAACACACAGCACAGGAGTCATCTGTTCACTACATCCATGGTAGCCTGTCACTATCTTCACAGATACCAACAAAACAAATGCAATCAAATACTGAATCTTTCCTATAGCTGGAAGACACAATTACTAAATATATTGTATTGATTGTGAGGACTCACAGTAGTAGATCAATGCTAATGGACATTGAATCCATAAGTATTCAAAAATAAACACACAGTAATGAATCAGACTACTGGTCTTAGGAGGGGGCTTCCTGCTAATTATTGAACCTTATAAACCACTGGTTCCAAGCATGACTCATTCGTTAACTGCCAACAGCCGTAAAAGCAGACAGCTGTAGAAATCAGCTACTACTGTGATCTTCATCCAACATCGTTTCAAATTAGACTGTGCTGTGCATCTTTTAAACAAAAACACAAGCAAAGAAGCTTCTAATTTAATGCTTCAGCATGTAAAATACTGTAAAAGTATTTGTCATTTCAAAATCGAACAGAGGTGTATAACTTTTAGGCAAAATTCTCCACAAAAACTAATATCGTCCCTGCAAAAATGTAACATCAGAACACAAGCATCACAATACTTGTTCTGCAGTTACTATACATTACAATATAATATATGTATAATGCCGATACAAGGACTGATAAATTATGATGAAAACACTGCTCCTCTGGCTGGATGTGCCCAAGTACAAACTCTTCTTCTTTGTTCTGTATAAACCTAATTCTAACTAACCTTTGCTTTAAGCAAATACAAGAAATACAAAAATCACAAAAGCACCATACACACCTGTGCATGATGAAATACTAATAGCTATTTATATAAGAACTGTAAACACATCTTTGTGCACTTTTACACTGGTTAAAAAAATTATCAGCATTCCCTGAGCAGCTTTTCTCTATAAATACTACAAAGAATATATAATAAATATATATTATTTTCTATGTAGGTAGCTATTTCTGCTTTATACATTGTACACACAATAGTGTTATATGTTTTAAAGGCTAGTACTAAAAACTAGTAGTTTTTCAGCTGGGCATGTGTGTTTTTAATAATTGATCTTTTAGCTGAATTAATTTACTTGCTGCACTGTCAGGAAAAAAAAAAAAAATTACTGTAAAGGAACATTTTTGTTTATCAACATTCAATCAATGGAAATGTACCCTCCAGAGTACATCAGTGGTGCTAAGCTCTAATTTTGTATCTTAAATATCTTTTCCCCAGGAGAAAGATGCGTATTTGTTCCTCTGGATAATCTAATGATTTAAAACAGACAAATAAAAAATGTTTGGAGTCAAGACAAGTTGCATGGCTCCATGCAACTTAAAAAATATAATCGCAACAGAATAGAATACAATCATGTTCCCTAACTAAAAGGTACTGAAGACGTACCCTTAAGTCACCCCAGTGACGCAAGGTTTACCATTCTGGTGACAGTTTAGTACCTTTTTTCTGAGAATGCTGGACAGCAAGATTCAGGCCTAACACAGGGAAGCACTTTCCAATGCCACGGGCCACCAACCTAATTATGTTACTTTGGTGCTATGCAAGGCAATTTGATCTGCTGAGTAGAGGTGGGCAATATGGAAAAAACATAATATTGCGATACCACAAGAGATTTTCATGATACATGATATGTTTATTATGTTTATATGTATATATTTATTTTTTCTTATCAGTTGTAGTGCTACATCTAAAAAAATACCCTATCAAAAACTGTGAATGCAATGATTTTATTCTATATTTGGCATAATGTTTGGCACTAAATCTAGCTAAATTGGACAAATTTCTCTCTTTTTATAATGAAACACGCAGTTAGTCAGTGTTCTACGAGTACTGACCATATACATAATATGTTCAGAAAAGCCTATTGTGTTGTATTGTGACATCATTTATCACAATAACGATATACATCGTCATGTTGCCCAGACCCACCACTGAGTCATCTCAATTATTAACTAGGTGTGTATTGTGAAAACTCATATAGGAATATTGATTAAAAAAATATGGTGTGGCCCTTTTATGGATTGGTTGTTCTTGTTTACAAGCTGTCTATGACTGGTCTATTTATAATATATGCAGTTGTTTGTAGAAGTACTGATAGTACCCATGACATACTCAGAAGAAGGTGTGCTGATAATAAGGATCACAATAAGGACAACATATATTCACACTGCCCAGCCCTATTAACATGTATCACCATCACACACAAGACACATGAACATTTACACTGAAATATTGTACAGATCTTGGATTTGGTACAGAACGAAAGGGAAATAAACTAGAATGTGTCAGATCATCATATCAGTACTAAACTAAATTGCTAAAAAATCAACGAAGTAGCAAACACACATTGCATATTTGATGCCTGCTTTGTGAAGAGACTAACATTCCTAACTGTGCACAAGTTCAACATGGACTAGGTGAGTAAGAGCACAAAGGGTCACCTTTATTGGCAATGACCTCGACCAGGACGAGGCGGAGGCTGCGGCAGTGAGCGTCACGTGCAGGCAGCACACACAGAACTAGCAGGCGAGAGCAGCAGCGCAGAAACTGCAACTCATCCTCAGGACTGCGCAGACATGGGTGCAGCAGCAAGGGCCTCGGAGACTCCTCCTGCCTAAAGATGGAGGTTAAGCAGGGCCACAGGAAGTGATTAAGGGAGACAGCAGGGATGTGGAAAAGCAGTGAGTAAGTGACAGAAATGAGAAAGGTGGAAAGAACGCAGGAGGGAGGCAGAGAAAGAGAGACAGGAAAAGGGTTAGATGAAAAAAATAGCAATACTTCTTATTCATATACCATCAAAGTTGCTTGACAAACCATTAACAGTAGAGAGCAGAGCCCAACAACAAAGCATAGAAATAACACAAGTAACACAAAAAGAAAACAAGAAAGAAAATGACAGCCCAGTATTAACAACAAACTTTGCACTGTCAGGAAAAAAAAAAACTACTGTACAGGAATAATGTTGTTTATCAGGGTTCAAACAATGTATTAAAAGTACAATGTGTAAAAAGTACTATCAAAAGGAAAAAACAATACAAACTATGGCTGCACGATAAATTGTACTTTAATCATTACTGCGATATGAGTTTCCGCAATAAAACACATTGTTAAAAGCTGTGATTAAAGAAGAGGTCAAATTACCCCACAGACATAACATCAGAGACACCATTACATTGCTGGCACAAACCGTTAGAAGCCTAAGGAGTGCTTCTCTGCACTGGGATTGAACCCTGCTCACCACTGTGGGGGACAAGTAACTTAACCATTTGGCTGAAAAGCCAATTCCAAAACAAACATGTGCACGGCTTAAAAACTACTCCATCCTGAACTACGAGTCTGTAAAAACACATCAAACATTAGGATTGTTCTCACACCTATACATGGAGGGTGGTCTCTAACTTTTGCCAGTACTGTATATACAATATCACAATAGTTATCAAATATATGTATTAGATAATATTTAAGACGTTACCTAAAAACTGTAGTTTTTAAATATTTTGAGTCGTTTTGATTTAAACATACCAAAGTATCCAACAAGTTTGGTGACATTTTTATAATACATTAATATTGCAATAGATAAAAATCGATATAGCTAAAAACAACTATATCAACCACTTCTGGTTCAAGGTTTCATATACTGCGCTGAAATAAATTCAGTGGAACAGAACTAGTGTCCTTGCGATGACACATATAGCACAGTGTTTTTTAAGCAGTGACTATATCCATAATATCCTCAGAAAAGCTTATGGTGGTGCACTGTGAACTTATCACAATATGATAATGTATTACCATATTCCCCTCTCCTATTTTATGCCAGTCAAAGTAGTTTCCTATAATCGTACAGCCAAGAACCATTTAGGAAGCTTTTAAGACTGAAACACCATATAAACAACATATCGCCCAGCACTAGAGAGATAAGGTGAGATAAGCTGGAGGAATCAAGACAACAAAACAAAAAGTGAGAGACAGAGAAACAGAGAAAGATTCAAAGACTTTGCTTTAGTCGTCCACTCAGCTAATGAGGTCTGCTGATCGATTGGCGAAAGACAGAGCAATGAAGACATGATGGGTAATGGCATCACAGCATTCTGAGGCAACGGCATCACAGCATTCTGAGGCCTGTCTCTGTTCACCGAGGCAGCAGTGCTGATGATGTTAATCAATCACGCCCAGTGCCCTGCCATGACTAAGAGTAGAACCACCCAAAACAGCTCACCCCCAGTGTGTCTGCATTAGTAGTCTTAAAGTGCACAAGTGACTCGTTTTAGTCAAGAGGCTGGGGAGCAGCAAAACAACAACTATCTATGGCTTCTCAAAATATGAGCAAGACATTTTCCTAAAAAAAAAAAGAAATAAAATAAAAAAAATACAGATGAGACATGAAAGCTAATCCATCAGCAAGCTGATTCAATTCACCCAAGCCCAAAGTTTTGCCTTGTTGCCTGCTTGTGCAACTCAAAGGCAAGAAAACTCATTAAGCAGGGTAGAAAGTAAGATTCTCACATCAGAAAAGGGATGAAAGCTGAAGCCTGAACATCACATACATTGCTACAGAAAAAAAAAAATCTTATGTGGATTCTTTGATTTCCTCTCTGAAACGCTGATGCGTTAATTGACACAGCAATCTGTCGGTGGAAATGAAAGGCAGTTTTGATCAAACTCAGTTTGGCAACTTGCAGGCTGAACTGCAACTACAAATCTTGAGTTATATGTAGAGATGAACCGACACCATTTTTTCCTTTCTGATACCAACACCTGATCCTTAAATATATGCTGATACAGAGTACCAATACCGATACTAACTCTATCTAGCCTAACTAACCTATAAGTCCTGATACTTACACAACTACAATTTTCAAATATTTTGGTAAAAACTTTGTTCTGTGTCACAAATAAAACATACTCAGCTTGACTGATGGCATTTTCTTGTTGGATTAAATAAATACGATGCTTAAGAAAACCTATTTTTGTTTATTGATGTATATTTAGTATTTACTATTACATAATTAGTAATAGGAACCGTGTTGAACAACTTACATAAATGTAAAATATATTTATTAGGAAAAATAGCTAAGATAGTTAATACAGACAAACCTGTGGTGTGTACACATAAGCATATAGCAGTTTTCTGGCTCGGCAAAAATGGTGCCGAGTGTTGTTTCCCATCCGATTTCTCATATCATTTGTCTCATACGTGCGTCTCGTTCACTCACGCTTCCATCTCGAAGCGTCAGACTCTGCCGGAGTTCAGTAAATATTACTGTCATTCACAATGTCATTAGCAGAGTCTTTCAATGTCTTTTCCAGCTTGGCTGAAGCAACAGGCCACGAGATCCTGGTGCTGAGTGATACAGCTGTGGGGCTAATGGACACACAGGCCTGGCTAGTGGGCTGCTATGCTAAAGGCTAAGTCAAGCTAAATACTATTATTATGCTGAAAATCCGACGATTCCTTCCGCTCCCTCAGTAACAATCTGGACTAACACTAACATTAACTCAGACTGTAAGTGACTGTACAATTGCAGATGAGTGATCACTAAGAAGAAGGGCTCAGCCATTCAGGCAAGTGACCCCCGTTAGCGTGTTTTTCCCCCACTAAATACTGCCAGTGCCAGTATCAGCGCTGATATAGATACAGTATCGCTGCAACACTAGTTACATGCCCCCCTGAAAGCTCAGGTTGTGCTATACACCGATCAGGCATAACATTATGACGACCTCCTTGTTTCCACGCTCATTGTCCATTTTATCAGCTCCACTTACTATATAGGTGCACTTTGTAGTTCTACAATTACAGACTGTAGTCCATCTGTTTCTCTGCATACTTTGTTAGCCCCCTTTTACCCTGTTCTTCAGTGGTCAGCACCCCCACGGACCCTCACAGAGCAGGTACTATTTGGGTGGTGGATGTTTTGCTGGAACAGATGGACTACAGTCTGTAATTGCAGAACTACAAAGTGCACCTATATAGTAAGTGGAGCTGATAAAATGGACAATGAGCGTAGAAACAAGGAGGGGGTCATGTTATGCCTGATCAGTGTATATCCAGCTGAAAAAGAGTTTAGTGGCAAGAGTAAGGGTACAGGGGTCCAAAAATAAGCCCACTTTACAATTCTTTCATTAATGGGACAAACAACACCAAACATTACTATAAACATTAAGGTCTTATCATCACTTTATCAATGTTAATGTCAGTTATGTCCTCCATCTCCACAACCTCTACTATTCTATACAGGTTACACTGTCTTCAACCTGCTATAGCTAGGACATGGCCCAGTATTGCTGATAGTGGATTTAAAAGGTTGTACAAACGCAGTTTACACTTAGCCTGAAGCAAGACAAGACACAATGTCTGAGCACTTCTGTTTTATCCAATATAAATCAGACTTCCCTTGGAGCAAGCCGCAGATAATATGGAATCTTCATAATATCACAGCTGAAAGGCTTTCATTTTCTAAGAGGACAGTGCTAAAGACTACAGCTTTAAATAAGTCATATGAGGTTCTCTATCACACTTTTGTTTTCTTCCTCATTCCAGGAAACAGGATTGAACATTTTACATTAAATTGGGATAAAATGTGGCCTAGCATTTAATTAATGAATATGAGCATGGTAGCATCCAAACTTTAACACCTACACTAGCAAATGGAATATTTATCAAACCCACATAACACACAAAACCAATTTAATGATTCAGACGAATTAACTGAGCTAATGAAAGTCCAAAACCTAACACTATGCCTGCAGCGTCATACCTGGCGTTGGCAGCCTTGAGGTCACAGAAATGAGCATGGAGGGTCTTGACGGTGTCGTTGCAAACCACGTTAACGACGTCCACCTCAGAAAGTCGGACCCTTAGCTTCTTGATCATCTCCCAGAAATCTTCAGACAGCATCTGAAACAGCTGCCCTTCATCTCGACTCAGGGGGGCGTACCACGACAATATATAGTCCCTGTAGCAGTAGTCAAAGACTAGAAGAGAAGAGAAGAAAAGATGAATTTAATGAATACAAATCATGTGTATAAAGTAAAAATATTGTGCACACACTGCTGCAAAGGCTGCTATAAAGTCAACCTGTAAAAAAACTGAAAAAAATCATTTAAAAGTCAGGCGCTGGTTTTTTTGGACCACATCATATGTCTTTACACATTAATGCCACATGCACAGGTTAAAAAAAAAAAGCCCAGCTTGATATTTAGGTCTCAAATGCAAAATCCCCATTACACAAAAGTAGATAATTCACTTACGTCTTTCACCAAGTTCTGACCAAGTTTGAATACTCTTATAATACGCTCGCAATCATCAGATTCAACTACTCAGGGAGGGACTCCGAAGCACAATCAGCGTAATAAAACATGCTTTCGCATGTTGCGTGCACATATTACTGGACAATGTTAGTAATGCAAGATAAAGAAAGATGGAGGATATGTGAGGCTGGAGTTTTCCCAATACTAAGTGCCTTCTAGCGCTTACTGTTGGCCAAGCCAATTCTATCAGCTCGTATTGAAAAAGGAAAAAAGTAAACAAAAATAAAACAGAAACGAATGTGTTGATGTGCTTTTCACACAGGTGAAAGTACCATAAGATCTCATCTGGTGAAACTGGGGACGCATTTTAAACAAAGTAAATGTAATCCAGTCAAACTTCATCTAGATACAATCCGGAAATGAAACACGTCAATGCAAGTTGAAAACAGGCTTTTCAGGCGTATTGGACCTAAATTTAGAGTGTTTCAGTATTTTAAAATGATATTTGTTTTGGATGCTTATAAAAGGTCACATTGTTAGTTCAGCTATTTGTTGTTTAATCAAGCCAATGTGAGCACATTAATTATTCAATTTTCAAATATTTCCTGTGTAGAACAACATAGTACAGCTCATGTAGTGCTTTAACCTGCACATTCATTATGCAGTGACCCTAAACAAACACTGTAGTAGACAAATGAGAATAATTTACATATTCTGATTAAAAAAAACTAGATTGTGCAGTACAGCTCTTTATTAGGATGAACTGGATTTTTGCCAATGTTCTTTAAATGTCTTCTGGCTACAAAAACACCTATGTGGGTGGAGCATTTGGGGAGTGTTGTCAAAGTGCCGTGCCAAACCTAGTAATCAGCAGTTTTGTGCACATCATGCAGCCCTACAACGTAGCAGCAAGTGCCCAACACCCACCAACCCCTCCCTCAGGGAACACTGCCAGCTGCACTCTTCCTGAAGAGCCATCCACGACAGCCATGACACAGGTTGCATTCAATTCTGTGGCGCGATATGGCCGCCACGTGACCAACACTCAGATACTCCAGCTGTGCGGACGCCAGTACATCTATACAAAACTAGAAGAGAGAACTGGAGAAAACGACCTTCAGCGCCTCTCTTATGTTTACCTGCACAAGTGCAAATGCTCTTTAACATGCCACTCCAGCTGCCAGGCTGTTCTGATGTCTCTCTGAAGCCCTCTTTTCAGCCCCATTGATTCCAGGTTTAGAGCTACATTAAACAGAAAAATGGGCCTGTAAGAGAGATGCAAACAGCCCTGCAGAGACAGTTTGGGAAGGGCAGAGGGACTTGGTTCCAAGTGACAGATGGCATGAGGCTGGTACTACTGCACACTATTGCAGCAACTCTGACGGCACTCGATTCCTGTGTTCATCTTAAAGCATTCGAAACTCTGGTGACCACAGCACATTTTTTTCACAGGTTGAGGCAACCACATGTTTTGGCAGTGACCTCTTTTTCTCATTTTCTGGTTTTCAGCAACAATGTAGCTCTTCCTCTTATAACAGATGTAATATGAAAAATCTTGTTTTTAGAAGCTTCAGTACCATTTGAAAAGGGCAATACTATCTGAATCAGAATCACAGAGTTTTGATTGCTCTTAAAAAAATGGCTGTCTAAAAAAATAAAATAAATAAATATACAGAATTCCCCTTACCCTAAAGGTATTCACTTGGCCAACACACATTTGGTGTCACAAGATTGGTTCTTTAGTTTTGCACTGAAGCTACAAGGCTAATTCCAAAAAATAATGCAAGTCTATGGCTACTTTTATAATATCAGGCTGAAGTGGCGCAAATCTGAATTTTTTTGCCGTAATGTGACAGATCTGATGTTTTCAGGGCTGTATGGACACACAAATCTGATCTTTTCAAATCCGACCTGAGCCACTTTAGCTACGTTCAGACTGCCAGCCCAAGTCCGATTTTTGCCATATCTAGATTGTACAGAGATTTATTTTTGATAGTCTGGACAGCAAAAAACATGATATCCAATTTTTGCAAATCAGATCCAAATCACATTTAGAGGTGGCTTGAAATCTGATTCCAATCGTATTTTCACAGATGCGCTTCAGTCTGGATGCTCAAATTGGATTTCAAAGTGTGTTTTGCGTCACTCGCAACGCAACAAACAACAAAGATGTCAAATCCAGAGTGACGGAAGTGCTGGGATTCTAAAAGAGTGCAAAAGATTCATGCCAGAGATCGAGATCATGCACCTCCATCTCTCCTGCATCCGTGTTTAAAATCCGCATCACCAGCATAGGTACATAGTTACTGACGCCTATGTTGTTGCCACAGCAACCTGTGCAAATGTCTGGACACACAAATCTGATCTGATCACTTGCAGACAACAATGTGGACAGTCGCTTCAAAAGATCTGATTTGAGAAACAAATCTGATTTGCCTGCAGTCTGAACATAACCTTTCATTTGTGGTCCTAACTTAGTGCTGGTAAACGCTGATCCTTTTAAGTCTTCTTCTTGCTCTAATAATGCATAGCTGAATAATCACTGCAGCCGAATCTTGTTCTGTTGGTTGCTGTTCATGACGCACGTGCTTCACTCTTGTGATGTTACTGATTAAAATGTGCACATGCAGGTTGTTTCAGGACGCAGGTTTGTTCACATTAATGACAGATTTGAGTCCCATACAAACACGAATGTGAACCATCATGCTAGAAAGATTGAATCGAGGTAAAAAAAATTGGATTTGTGGCACTTTAGCCTGGTAATGTGAATGTAGAATGTGTTACTTCATAAGAGCCTAAAAAGACTAGGACTATTTTCACATTTCCAGGCCAAATCTTATTTTTCTGCCTTAACATGAGACTGATGTTTGTCAGAGCTGTGGAGACACACGAATCTAATAATTTAGAATCACATCTGAGCCACTTTTGCTATGCTTACATTGCCAGGCTAAAGTGGCATAAATCCAATTTTGCGCCTTAATGTAACACAGATCTGATGTTCTGAGAACTGTTTGGAGACACAAATCTGTTCTTTTGAAACCAGATCTGAGCCACTTTCATATGTGGTCCTAATCCGGATACATATCCAATTCGTGGCCAAGGGACCTTGATGAGAATGGTCAGATTGGAATTCATTTTAGTGTTAACCTGGCAGCAGCACCTAATTTGAAGTCAGTGCAAGTAAATGCTGCCAAAGGATCGGACCTGACAGCTGTTCAGAGCAAAGTATTTTCACAACAAAGGTCTGTCCTGCTGGTTAATTAGTTTGTTGTTCATGATGCATGTGGTTCATTCTCGTGATGTCATTGATTGGAATGTATGCGTGCAGGATGTTTCAGGACACAAGTTCGGTATAATAACAAATTTGAGTCACTTTCTTACACAAATGTGAATCAGGTTAGAAAGACTGGATCTGAGCAACAAGCCTTATGATGTGAACACAGCCTAATGTGGCTATAAAGTCTATATCATCTACATTCTATTGTATTAGCTCTGCAGCTCCACTGCGAAATAAAAGAATTCAAGTCAACGATGTGTGGGGTAAAGGGAAAACTAAATCTGAACTTAATCTCAAAGTAATGCATTAACATTTTGCGCTAATAAGATTCAAAACTGCTGCACAGAGGAATAAAAAAAGCTAATCATGCTCAGAACAGTCAACGCTGTCTCTTTAGATGCCTCATTGAGGGCAAACACCTCCTTCATTGTGACTGAGTCATGCCGGAAAGGTAGGGTTCACACTTCCATGCTTTAGAAACTGCTCACACAAGCCTCTGAAAAAGCCCTTAGGTCTCAGAAAAAGAAAGAGATCAACCAAAAGAGCGCGAGCAGCTTGGTTCCTTTCTTTCTTTGTTACTGCAATGCATTCTGTAATGTTACCAGTTTTGGAGATGTGTGGTTTTGTCACGACAGTGACAAAATGCAGCATTGCTGCACAGATAGATAAGACAGAGAGCAAGCATGCAAAAGAGAGAGAGAGACAAAGAGATCCTCTCACATGTGCCAGGCGTGCTCATATCAACCCTCTGCTAATGACGCTGCAGGCCCAATGATGCTCATCATCCAATTAGGCAAGGTTAGAGAGGATGGACACTGGGTTAAACTGGGATCACGGAGGTAGTAGCAGACAGAGTGACACCCTGTTCCCGTCCCTGTTCAACCTGCCTGACGTGAATGATCTCTTAAGCATACGTTTTCTGTAAACTAAGAGCAGGGATAAATGCCGATAGGTGATTTCAGTTATGAGCAGCCTGTATACAAAATATTGGCCTTTAACCTCAATGAGACTTCTTGCCAACTACAAAAAAATCATATACAAAAGCCAATGAAATTGTGCAGAAGTGCCCCATTAAATCTCATTAATTTGACCAGTTCTTATAAAATTCCCTACACTCCAAAAAACTAAGGACAATGCAAATATTGCTCTCTGAGAATCTGAACCTGTAAGCAAACCACAGGTACAGCAGGCCTTGGTAACTCCCCTTTCCATCCTTTTCCGCTAACTCTCACTGGTGTAAACAAGCCAGCCTGCATCACTGCATATGTGCCACCTGCTGCCTACACCATGATACATAAATAAATACGAGTGAACTTCAGTAAAGGTAAAGGCTTGAATAGACAGGCATGAGGAAGCCAAACCAAAATAGCAAAGGATTCTAATGTGTTAATGTGGTAAACTTGATCTTTTCATTGACAAAAGTTCCAGATTCTTTTTTTTCCTATTGTGTAGATCAGGTAATAGTAACCTAGGAGTAACAATAAAGCTGAATCACAGGCACAATATGAAGAAGCGATTCATTTATATCAAGTTCTGAAGGAAAAAAAAAAGCCTAAATGCCCACAAGACACCTCATATGACAATAAATAGTACATGAGGAAAATTGTCTATTGAATTATTAAAGGACGACTTGTCTTGTGGAATACCAGAATCCACATACTGTGTGCACGCTGTGTCTCTCTCCCTTTTTCTCTCCCTCTTCATCTTCCTCCTCCTGTTAATCAGATTCTTACAATATGCATGAGTCAACTGGGACATCAAACGACTGAGGTCTCCAACTGCTATTTCTCCCCTCCACTACGCGTCACGGTGACGGGCTGAGGCATATGATCACAGCATGCCGGCTGTCTCTGGCATTGTGCTGAATAAAGATGCTTTACGTAAACCACTTCATGGTCAGATGAATCTACTTGTTTAGATTTAGGTCTCTGCTCAACATTTCTTCAATCTGCATGAGAGTGTTAATCAGGCCACATCTGCATATTTCTCATGCTGTACCTACTGCTTTTCCATAACTACTTGTGTTTAAATCTGAATTCGGTTGATAGAACATGCCTTCTGTTTTCCACTTTTCTTCAGCACTTAGCAAGTGGGGATCTGCATTCTGACTAATTTTTATATTAAAGTATCCGTGAGACTTCATAAGCAGATTTGGTTAACCTCAAGGATGGAAACCATGGCTTTTAGCCTAATACTATAGAATTTCAATACACAAACATGATAAACTGAAAAACTGAAAATGTCAGGGCTCACAGAAGTAGACATTTGAATATGACTTTCATTATTCAAAAACATCTGGGGGAATCTTTTTGTCACTTCACTTGAGTAACAGAGGTCGCCTTGAATGAGATAATGCGCCAATTCTAACACTAGAGCTAACTGGCGAAGCAGTAGCTGGGGATGACTCGTGGGCTTCTACGCAGTTTTTTCTCCTCAGTATGATTGGCTCACATGTTGGTTTATCAACATAACATTGAGAAGATGGAGAAAAATCTTCTCATTGTTTTTGGTGCCAGCTAGAGTATTTATCCTAGTTACAGATGCACCACTTCTGCCTTTTCAACAACATGCCCTTGGCAACATGCTCAGGTTAAGGGACCCACATTTTTAGAAGCAAAATACTAAAGCAATAAGTCACGAGAGGCTGTGGGTTACTGTGATTTTATCACGGGAAGGGTGTTCTTAGGCACGACACGAAGCAGACCTCCTAAAACTCCCTTCCCTGTGATAAAATTGCAGTAACTGCCAGCCTCAAGTGGCTTATTGCGTTTATAAAACGGCAGCCAACATAAAATATGATAAAATGCACAATTTTTTTGAAAATAATCTGTGTTATTGAATAATGGTTGACATAAACAAGTATTCCACCATGAAATGTAGTTCCTTTAGAGAATGGTATCATTGCCAAGCAACCTCGGACCGCTGAATGAGGAGAACGTTCAGTCACCCATCACTGCATATTACAGTCATTTCATTAATTTTTTTACTTTTTCTCGTATAACAATGAACATATGATGACACAGCACTGATTAATGCAAAACTCTTGGTTTATAAGTACTTTCTGGTCACCAAATTACCATCACAAGTCTTATTAAGCACTAATCCAGCAGCGCCCGTTCTCGTGCTGGGGTTGAACCTCAAATGTCTCCCTGTCCCCTACATAGTGCACTACGAAGGAATTTAAATACTGGATCCTGCACCCCAACTGTGCAAAACATAGCTAAGAAAAATGTCATTTGGGACACATCCATACCATGCACTATTTGGCTGTAGAGGCTAGAATTTCTAAACTTTCATAGCTAGAATACTATTTAGGGAGGACGGAGCCATTTGGGATCCAGCCTGGGGTTTGTGGGATTTTGATAAAAGTGTTTCCTTGAGTTATTTTATTTTCATTAAATAAATTATAATCATGCACCTAAAGTTGATTAACAAAGTATATTAATCCTCTCACTAAGGATAGGCCTTGCTATGTGTAAGTTAGGGGTTTTTGGCATTGGAGTGTCCCTGAAATTCAGAAACATGTAGAAACCAGTGAACATTGTTGAAAGGGCAAGCTGACCCTCAAAGAGTGAGGTAAGCTGATAAGGAACCTGTCAAAGTCAGTTTTTGGAGCCAGTTAATAAAGCAAGAGTTAAATTAATAGCCTTGAGAGGATGGGACGGCTTGGTACAGCCAAGCTGGGTAAGTTTTAAAAAAAAATTAATGTCATGGATGGTTGGAAATAAGGGTTTCCAAAGAAATGGCAAAATCAGGATATAATGGGGACTAAAATGATATGTGATAATGTAAGAGGGAGGGGGTGATTACTTCATCGCCCCCAAAAAGGATATAAAAATGGATGTTTTGTGATGTTCATTGCATTTGGTTGTCCCGGAACCATCTTGCCACCTGAAGCTCAATGAGCTTCCTTCCACAAGAACTCAGCGGCTGAAGTCTTTTTATTCCGCTTTCTTTTATTTTTGGTTGAATACCTTTTATTTCAGTTGAACTTAGTGTAAGCACTTACACTATCCTTAGAACAAAAAATCATTGCATAAAATAGTTTAAATTAACCTCATATGTCTTTATGGATTGGGGAGTGAAGGTTACATTTTGAAACATTTTTTTCTGCTGTAATTTTTGCTACTGCACATTAACTAATGAGAAGAAGAAAGTCAGATGGTGGTGGAAGGGAGCAAAGTCTGCATGCGTTAGTGTAAACACAGAGTCATCTGTGCCACTCAACACACTGCGTTTTACTGTGGATCAACAGGCCTCTGTTGCTGACTACAAGGCTTGACTGAATGCACAGAAGCACACAAGCTCACAACATGAATGACGTGTTGGCTTACGATTTTAAACACAACCATGGTGCTATGCTGAAAGTTAAGCGTGTGAGCCAGCTCTGTGTAATAATCCCAGACCCTGCTGCCTATGCCGCCACGGCACCGTAGTACCATTTCACTAATAGAATTAGCTGGAGTACGAGCATGCATCTCTCATTCACATTACAAAAACATTACAATCAGCTGGACGTCAATGAACTAAACCACTGTCTGTACAGAATGTCCTGTTAGCATGGAGTGACCTACAGCACAGCTGCATTACCATCCGCAAAAAGCCCAAGGTCCAAAAGTATGCACATGTCTCACTAAGACGGAGTATGATACTAGAGGGTCTTAACCTGGAAGTCGTGAACCCCTTAAGGGTCCCTTACGTAGTTCCAGGGGGGTCACAAGAGTGGTGCTATAAAGATAAATACACCTTATAAAACAGGGGAAAATAATCTTGACAAGTGGTTGGAGAAAAAGCCATGTCACTCGAATAGGAAAAAACACAAGAACGTGGAAAATAAATTAATTTCCGGTAACGGTAGATTTTTCTTTTGCACCAAGGTAAACTTTTGCATCAGCCAATAAAAAACAAAAGAGCAAACTGAAAACTACTAAACAAAAAAAAGCTCCTCAGTCAATATATTGTCACTTATCACTCACAGTTGCAAAAATTTCATCCCTAGTAGTATGGTAAGTGCAATATGGTAGTGCAGCCCTAACCAGAATACTGAACTACTGCTTTAATTCCCCCTCTAAATTCACCTTTACCATTGCTGGAGAGGTAGATTAGACTTGACCGTCTATCCAAAGAAAGCCCAATTAGTGTTCGCACCAGCTGTCCTCTCACTACACTGTTCAATCAAAGCATGCTGTCTTCAAAGCTGTTTGGTATCTCACAGACCAATTTAAGTGGATTTCAAAAGATCAAACACACCATATTTCTCTCTGAGTAATATAAAAGCAAAATCAATATATATATAAAAAATGAACCTGCCACAGAGATTAATTGTATGCTTGGCACACACAACCAGTGGCATGTGTTCTAATCTAATTTCGCCCCCACACCATAGGGGAAAAAAAGAAAAGAAAAAACAAATGCTCAGGCAGCGGAAATGTGCACCGTCAGAAGTCATGGTGCCTGAGCTCAGCAGCCAAAAATACCCAAGCTACACTCAAGATGTGCCCCATGTTTCAAACACTGCTCCAGTTCCAGAAAGGCTACAGAAAAAAATCTGTTTATAGCGATCTGAAGCCACGTTCTGTTTCTGAATCAGTTCTTATTTTGGAACATAATAGTCAAGATGTGATCTGCAGTAAACCCAGCCCACGACTTTTGCTCTTTTAAAAGCCACAAATACAAAATGGGAAGTTCAAAGGCTTGTGCCTGCCTGGAAAAATTCAGTGGGTTATGCAGGAGCATATGAATGGAGGAATTAAGAGAGACAGACAGAGGGCAAAGGCAAAAAGGCCTCAAGGGCCAGTTTGAGCTGGGCAGCTGTGATTCTTCCAACATTGTTTACTAGAACTTGTTTTAATCCAAGGTACATTTGTAAAATAAACAAACAAAAAAATAATACTCCTTCAGACAAATGATTCTACCTTCTTTCTCATTCTCTCTCTGTCTGAGTCAGTGACAACCCTATCTATCAGACCCTGACTGATAGATTTTGACATGAAATTTGTTCACAACTATTTTCCAGCCTTTGAATCGACAACATCTGCAGAAGATGGATTTGCAAGACGAGTCTTGACTCTGCTGTTTTTCTTCTCCTCTTAACGCTTCGTTCTGTAACTAGGCTGACGTGACCAAAAGAATGAGGGACAATATTTTCAACCCTTATCTAGAGGATATGATTCATGACCTCAGCTTCAGGTTCATTTGTTCATTGTAAAATAAGTCTGTGTAATTTACAACAATTTCAATTCACTCCTCAGCTAACTTTCAAAAGGACCAATGAACAGTATGTGAATTTTCTGCATTCCTCTGAATGGATTACGCTACTCACCTTCTTTAAGGGCTTTATCCATATTGTGCGACACAACCACTCGTCTGGTTTGTGCCGAGTCCAGCAGTGGAACAGAGAACCTCCCCTGCAGAACACAGGCCAGAGAGACAGAAAATGAGCCTTTCAACAGCCATACCCAAATATATACTGGCACTGGCACTCTGGGTTAGATACAACAGCACAGACCTTCATACAACAGCATCAAAAACATTAACTACTACATGAACAAAAACAAAAACAAACCAGCCAAACAGCAAAAAATCAAAAACATAGGGAGAACTGTGACTGCACCACCCCTCGGTGCTTGGTTCCATTTGTTTTGGAACATTGGCTATTTAATGACAACATTAAAGTAGTTCTACTTGTAATGCACTTTTTAAGCTGTTTTTTAAAAAACTTACAAATAAAGTGATTGATACAGCAAGCCGTGTTTTTATCAATATAAGCTATATTTCAATTTTTTTTTTGTGTAACCTCTTATAAACTTGTACCCTGCAATTTGCTGGAAATAATTAAGAGAAATGCACACCCCTACAAAAGATTCTATAAAATATTCCTACCATATAATTGCTACCGTGTCAAAATGTTCTATTAAAGGGACTTTCTGACCTAAAACTAGCCTATATTTTAGTATGTCATTTGACATCTTATTAAGTGTTCTGTAGTGTTGCATCATATTCTGACAGAATTCATTTGATACCTTTTATGATTTATGTCAACTACATCATACAACTATTAGGAATCGCTGTGGTGTCAATGAATCCTGACTGCTAACCCACCCACTGATCTGTAGGCAAATAAACACGTCACCAAGCTAGCATCAGTATCTGTCTCACCCCGGTTATTGAACAAAACTGAAAAAGGAAAGAAAAAAGACACGGTTATATCTTTATTCACAAAAGCATCATCAGAAGAGGTTTTCCTCGTCTTTAAACAGGAAAATCTCACTCATTATGAGCTACTGTGGTAACGCTGTAGGATGCGAGTACACATGTTTACAACAGATGCAGCACTGGTTACATTATTCATTTTGGCAGCAGTGTCCCTTTACCACTAAATAAAAACTGAAAGAAAATATTGTTTCTTATAGACACAGTTAGCTTGTCTGTTCGCTGTTACTCTAGGCCAACATTTTCTATCAAAAAAAGACAAATTTTTCCTGTTTTAAAGCAATTTTGGTGCTTTTCGCCATAGATGCATACTTCCAAAGTAAGGCAGGGCACAAAAATACTTCCTATAGGCTTCCATAGTGCGAACATGTGTGGTAAAAAGCTTAGAGAAACTCTACTATGCAGTTCATGCAATGACAATATTCTCCAACTGTTGTGCTATTATATTCCCAGAATGCATGTTATCTTTTACCTTGCCAGGTATTACTCCACTTGTTCGATGGCTGTATAGAACCGCATCACTACCTGCTTCACTGCTGCCCACTTTGCTCTCTTTTAAGAGCAAAGAAACAAGAAAGCTGAAGCTAGTATGGACAGAATACTACATATCAAGCTAATGAACGTAAATTAAAACATACGTAAAAGATGTTCAGTGAATATGAAAGGTACCACTCATAATTTGCATAACAGCCCAAGGATGTGATGCCATTTAATAGTCTTTTGTGATTGTGTTGTTGCACAAATACATCCTGAAACTGGATGCAGTTCTATGCCTTGTGGAATCCTAGAAGAGGTCATTTCAGTCTCTAGAATCAGGCTGGACAAAATCTTCATCTGACCCCGCACACTTGGCATTCTGAGTGTACACAGTACTATGGAGCGTTTAAAGAATAGTCCAAAAACAAGCAAGAAGAAGCTTTTGTCAAGATTTAGTACGTTGCCAGTCACTAAAACATAGCAACAGAGGTATGTGTAAAACTTTATTAGGACATATTAGGAGTTATTACTAGAACAGCTGTGGCGATGTCAGAAATGCACCTTCAGAGTATATAGCTCAATGATGAAAGCTCAGTACTTTGAAATTAAAGCTCTATTTCTGATAAGTTGGCTAATGCTTTATCCTGTGGCAATCTGACCATGCTCTGATTAACCTCAATAATTCCCAAAGGTCAGTTTTTAGTGATATTATTATGTTCTTACTACAAGTGTGTGCATTGTACCATTTTTTTTTCTTCTGGCTGGGGTGTTTGTCTTATAATGGAAATCCCAGTCTACAACATTAGTGTGATGAACACGACCTCGTGGTCTAAGACCCTCCCAGGTCGCTCTACGTGTAAACAGACCTGATGTGCTTGAGCATCAGTCCTTATTAACAAAAACAAGTTATCCTACGACCCTACGGGCAAATTAAAATAACCGATCATTAGAAACAATGTAAACACCTGGCTTTACATAGTAGATATGGTGGGGTAGTGAGGGGCCTGAACACACATAGTAATGACATCAAGCCATCCAAACGCATCCTTACCATCAGTTTGTCCAATAAGTTTGGCGACGGCCTCTTCGAAATGTCGAATCTGCTGATTTTAGGTGGGCTCTTCTTGGCGAGTAAGCCAAAGCAGCCCAGCAGGAAACAAAACAAAGTGAAGGACACAGAAATGGACAGCTTCAGGAAAAACGCCGCTAGACTGAGTCCTCCACAGCCGAACTGCAAGAGCACCGCCGCCGCGGCGATGCCGAGCGTGAGCGCCGGTAAGACTCGGCAAGGCGAGCCGGCTGAAGAAGCAGCGCCCGGCATGTGGGCATGGGCACTGCCGCTGCTGCTGCTGCTGCTGCTGCTGCTGCCATCAACCTGCATGCTGCTGAAAAGGGCATGTCCACACGACAGACTTTATTCCCCTCGAGTTTGTCCGCTTTTCATACCTTGGATCCACTTTGGTGGCGCGGAAAAGCTACGCAAGGCTCGGAATGTCATTCATGGCGGGGACAAGAAGATGCAAACCTTCCTGTCCTCTAGCTGTCCAGCATCGCTTATCTGAACTGCGATAAATGAATAAGGGCCGTCGCGGCCAGGCTAGCTACATCTAACGTTACAAGTAACGCGCAACTAACGCTAGCTAGCTAGCTGACTGGCTAACCTCGTTGGATAGCAAGCTACTTAGAACCGCAAGTCAAGTGAATGCATATGGAGCAAGTGCACGACGGAAATTTAAGTCGACTGACCACCTGCACCTCTCTGAATTAGTTAAAGCAATGGCGTTACATGAATTATGTGCGGCTGTAACGTTGTCGACGTAACGTTAACTAGGTTAACTTACTCGAAGAGCGTTACTGATTTCTACAGCCTGCTAAACCCTTCTTATCACCCTGCCATCCAAAGAGCAGGAGGCGTGTTGTATTTGGCAGGTTCAGTGATGAGGTGTGAAACTGAAAGAGCGGTGTAAGATCTGTGCAAATAATCAGATCGCGCCGTTCACCTTTAAGTGATATTGACCTAGCTAACGTTAGTTAACCTAACAGTGCTTATCTAAGATACACCTAATGCATAAATACCGTGTCTCCACTTGGATTAAGTAAATAACAAGCAGGTATGTGGTTATTATAGGTAGACGTGGCCAGACAAGCTGTAGATCAGGTAATGTCGTGTTGAGGGATATGAACAAACATATGAGCAGATGGAAAGCTGACGTTAACGGTACTGAGAGACGACCGTGAACTCGAATGTAAACAATGAACTATAGCCTCGCATGTAAACACCGACAGAACGCTTCCAGGTTGCTATAACGACAGTTGCCTAATTAAAAGCTCAGAACCGCGCGAACGGAACTGTTATGTCACAGTTCCTTAGGAACAGCATCATAAATCCAACACCGAGAACAGCCCAGTCGAACTCGACACGCACACAAAACCATCAACTTTGGTTAGCTAACGTAATTTAGGGCGCCAGTACTTGCTTACACCGCTAAACGGCTGGAACATTCATTTGCGTAGCTTTGTGTGAGATGATGGCTTAACTTCCCAAGACAACGCTGAAGGGCGTCAAATCCACGCATTCCGGTTCAAGAAGATCCATCGCAAGCCCTAGACGACAGAGCTTTGTCCGAAAACGTGTTGAAATCCCCCTTGTTCCTAATTTTACCGTACGTTACACTCCTGTTTTTTGTCACTCCGGCCATTCGGGGGAGAAAACCTAGATCCAGCTCACACGTGAAGCGTCTCGACCAATCAGCGAGCAGCGCGTATCGTACGTCATGGGCCGGTGGGTAAGCTGCACTGAATATGCCGAAGACCTCGAGTATATGGAGCTTTGCAACATATTTTGAATCCCTCATTGTCTGGTTATCGTTATTTTATGCCGTTATTATCTATCTATCTATCTATCTATCTATCTATCTATCTATCTATCTATCTTGTTCATTTATTTTATTATATTTCACTTTGTATTATTTTCTATTATTTTGCTGCTATTACTTTACCCACGTAGTATAGTAGTGATGTTTATTGTAGTGATGTGTGTTGTAATGGTTATGAATAATTACATCAATAAAAAAGAAAGAATATGCTGCACAGCTGATGAAGATATGGGAAGATAATGGTACAGAAAGATAAGGTTTGAAGCTATTTTGTGTTTCAGAATAAACGTGCAGTGCAGACGTCCAGTCAGATCGAGCCCTGAGGTCACCAAGTAGCGGTTCATAAAGTGTTATAGACCACAAGGTCAAGAAGTGAGGTCACGTGGGGATTTCCGTTAACCAAGAAAGTAGATCCTGTAATAGTAACACCAGTCCTGATGATCAAGGCAGACTTAATATGATCGTGCACAAGTTTATAGGCGTGAGTTCTGCTTCTTCCAGTCATTTCTTAGGTATGGAATGTGCCCAATACGTCATTAGTGAGAAAGGAAGTCTCTCACTTAGTAAATATTTCTTATACTTGTGCGACATCTGCTGTTCAAAGTGTGTACATCAGCAGTGGCCACAACTGGCCTTATTAGCTTTCTTTGCTGTAACTTCTGTACAGTCTTGACCAAACTGACTCCAAACTAGACTGTAATAAAAATGTTTTATCTCAGTTTCACTCGCGCTATGCAATACCACAGCGCACCTGCGGACGGCGCAGGTGTCCCAGTGTCACCACTATGATCTACCTTAGATGACCCATTGCTTTTTTTGTACTATTCGCTGGAGAACGCACGTGTAGTGGACGAATATACATGCAGTAAATCCATAAATATATTATCTTATCAACCCCAAAGGTTCTGTACCTAGATTTATTATCTCCCAGGCAAAAGCATAAAGTGACAAAGAAAAACATTAGATCAAAGCTTTGTGTGGTTGCTTATTTACTCCGGGAAACTTTTCCTGGAAGCAGAACTTCTTTAGACTTTCAGACAGTCTTCTTCCTTTAGTTTTCTGTAGCAATATGTAGAGTACAGTAATTCACAGTTCTGAAAAGTCATACTGAGCCTAAAATATGCTAGTAATTGTTGAGTTTCCCAGCAACTTTATTATAATCCTTTGACAGTAAGGCCTTGCCTCAGAAACATATTCAATATTGAAGATAGATAATGTTACCAGCCCCAATTTAAACACTAACCAAACTGGACATACAGTTTGAATGGTAAACTTTGAAATGATCCAGAAACCCATAGGGCAAAATTGTGATGCACTGCACATTTTCATTGATGATGTATGAGAAAATTGTACACCTCTTTTATTGAGAAAAATTATATTAGTACAAAGACCCAGACGCATACACATAATCTTATTCAGGAAAAAAAATGATGAGAGAGATCCTCCATGAAAAATTAAAACAATTAACATTTTCCTTTACATTCAGAACACTGCAGACTCTGAGGACAGAAATAATCTGGATTTCACAGTTGGAAAATGAAAGACCAAAGCTTTCTTATTTCTATGCCGTTCAGACAGAAACAAGACATTCAGACTGGATACAAAACCATCCGTGCAACAGTAAATCAGCAGAACAGACTCAGAAGTTTCCAAGTGTGGTGAGTCTAAAAATGACAATGGAAGCTTGTTCTGTCACAATGGTAAGCGATCTCTTTGGTCTTGAATCACATTTCAGTTCTACATGTGCAAAGACTTGTATCATCCTTTACTTCTTCTTTCCACTTCTGCCCTTCTAGCTGCAAAAGGCTACTGGCTAAATGTGCTCTTGAAGATAAAAATTTACTAGAACACTTTTTTTTTTCAAAATAATTCCCTATTCCTTGTGTGATCTCCACATAGGTCTTCTGCGTCTTCCAGTTTGATGTGGTCCTTAAACAGCATTGATGAAAGCCGGTATAGTTCTGCTGATGTGGGAGGTGTTTGTGTGTGTGTGTGGGGGGGGGCGTTCTATATCTGAGCACACAGCAGCAATGACAGAATTGCTAGCATGCAGGTGTAAAGCAGCGTGGGCTGTATGGCACCAGCAGAACCCGTCAGCATGAACTCCACTCTAGACCAGGAGCCATTGTTTGGAAGGGGCTCGATGCCCAGAGTCTTGCACATTAAATTATAGACGTCCACGGCTCTGATCGGCCCTGCTCGGAAATTCCTCTTGAAGTCTGACAGGCAGAGAGCAGATAAAGTGCAAGTCAGATACAGTGTAAGCCTTTCACAACTATTATTCACTCACAAGTTCGCAGTTATTTGGGTTGATCGCAATTATTTAAGCCAAACACAATTATTTTCCACATTTGTTATCTTTCACAATCATACTTGCAATTCATTGGTCGTGTTGAGGCGAATACATGTACACTGAGTATGTGTGATTTAATGTACTTCCAGTGCATATCCATTTCAAATTTACACACATCATTTGACTTTCTACTCACAAAAAATATATAATCAAAAGCATTTAAGATGTGTGATTAAAAAAAGAAACAGACTAAGAAAAAAGAATTTGAACACACATCAATAACAAATACTTTGTAGCAAAGCTCTTGGCACTTATAATGTTGACATCTGCGGTAAGAAGTAATTAGCTTTTACAGCTATTTTGATTTTGGCACATTCCTCTTCAATTTGTCAAGGTTATGAGGGGCCCTCTGATGGACACACAATTTTAAAATCCCCCATATTTTTTCAATGGGATTCATTCATTTGGGGCCGTTGTCTTGTTGAAGAAGACAACGACCCCAGCCTTCAGCCTTCTTCTCTCCAGATTCATTTTCTTGGCTGATGAGATTGAGATGAATTCTCCTATAATATGTCCTGGTACAACACTCCATTTATGTTTCATTCAATGATGTGTAATGCCCAAGTACTGTTTGCAGAGAATCAGCCTCATATCATGATGCTCCCACCACCATACTTCACTGTGGATTTGATGTTCTTGGGATGACACGAGCAATCCTTCTTTCTCCAAACATGCCTAGCTGAATAATTGTCAGAGTTCTACTTTTGTTTCTTCTGACCTGAATACCAAAAGAGTTCTGATTCTTTTAAACGTTTGTGTTTAAAGTGTAGATGTGCATCTCTGTTCTTCTGTTTTTGGCAGAGGAGTATTGCACAGGGTTAAGAATGGAGATGACTGCGGAGCAATTATTGCTTATTGTTCTCTGTCTAACTGCGGTCAGGTCATCCTGCAACTCTTTTCAAGTGACTGTCGGCCTCTCTCTCACCATCATCAGTCTTTTTTTTTGCTGTGCACCTGTCTGGAGACGATTAGTTGTTGTTCCATGAACTTACATATCTGTATGTTCAAATACATACTTTTTTCTTAACATACTTTTGTTTTTTATTTTTTGTACAAAGTCAAAAGATGTTGTGTGTGTACATTTGAAGTGCATACATGCACTAGAAGTTTAAGTAACAGAAAAAATAGTGGCTGAATACTTGTTTCCACTCACTTTAAAAGTAAGCAGAAAATGCATTTGCTGAGGCCCGTCATTTGCTGAGGCCCGTCAAGTTCTAACTGTTGACTGGTGTTATAACACCTTTAGAGGGCAGCAGTGAGTAATATTTGTTCATTTAAATTTGTTAGCTGTATGTGATGTCAGTTGGGAGCTACTATGTATACAACAGCTAGGAAGCATGACAGCTACAGTGCATGCAAACTTATTAACACTATTGGAAACACAGATCCAAAATATAGTGAACAAAATTGTGTACATGCAGTCACAGACTGTAGTTCATCTGTTGTCACACACAATCTGTCAACCATCCTCTACCCCAGAGGTATAAAACTCTGGTCCTGGAGGGACAGAGTTCAGAACAGTCTGGGGTTTTTACATACATCAGTATCACAGTTAAATTGACACCACCCACATGTATGCTGAAAAGATAGCTGTTATGGTCAGAAAGTGACTAATGATGAAAGACTAGACGATTACTCAGATGGGCTACATTCTCCTACACACCAGAAAGTAGGTGTTTCTAACAGAAAGTGGATGGTGAGTGTATAATGTACATGTATAACAACATATATGCAGATTACCTGGTCCCTGAGCCAAAAAGAAGCCTCTCATGTCCAAATACTCATTGTCATAGCCATGCCAACCATGCTGCCAGGCTTCCGCCTCTCCAGTGCCATTCTGCCAGTAGGGCAGCTTGGCTTTGTTCTGTAAGCAGAATGGGGTTAGGTGAGTGAGTTAAGTGTGGTCTTCCTCACTGATTTTGCACTGCTAGCGTTCATATCTGGCTTGCTCCCTGACACACATTCCATGTTTTTCCCACCCTGAGGTTCTAAAGACTATGGAATGTTTTGTTTGTGTTCTAAGCCTGATGACGCACGAGTAGGGGCTACCTTTTACTTCGCCAGGCCTTTGCCCAAAGGATCCAGAAGAAGACTTTTGTTTTTGAGCAAATGGGGCTGTTACATGCAAGGCTGAATCATGACTGAATAGCTCAATAGGAATGCTAAGAACTGGCCTAATCAGCGGGGGTACTGGGAAGCCACAGCAATCAAAGAGGAGCGCTGTGCTGCATACAGAGATGACTGGCATTTTTGGATATCAGACATGCTCTAGGTGAGGTGACAAGTATCCTGTGCTGAGAATAGGAGAATAGATGTATGGGCTGAAGTGAATGTCAAGTTCAATATAAACTACACCTTTAGGGCCTTTTTCCTGAACATGAGTTAAACCTCATCTTGCACTAATTTGCAATGTCTGTGGTGATTGACCATTCAAAGTGCTTTTTAGACAAGGTTTAAATTTATTCTGGTCTGGGAAACCAGGCTTCCGAGTATTAAGATTACAGAG